TCCACAGCTTCTCTGGGTAGCCTGTGCCTCAACACCCTCTGAGTGAAGAATTTCCTCCTAACATCTAATCTAAATCTTCCTTCTTTTAGTTTGGAGACATTACTCCTTGTCCTATCACTATGTTCTACGAGAAAGACAAATATATTGAATCAAGGAGAAATTACAAAACTCTATGTGTAAATAAGTTACTTTTTTTTTTTCTTTTTTCTTTTTTTTTCCCAGTGAGTTTATTGAAAACTTACCAAACCTTAAGAGAAGAAAATCTTGAAAGAGACAGAGCTGATAGCATCTAGGATTAGACATCATTGGTTTGCAACCCATTTAGAAAAGGCAGTGCCATTCAGAGCTGCCTGTACAGAAATACTCTGGTGCAGTCATCTCTCGAATGCCGTGCTGAGTCTGGGCCTTGTGTTATCAGTGGGCAGAGGTCAGAGCTGACAGAGAAAGAAATTGATGAGCAGATCATTGACTTGGAATGAGCGACTTGTACAGTATGAGAAGATTAAAAGTACTAAAGTGATTTATGCCATCTGAGGATCTGAGCTAGCTAGTTTAGTTTTGGCCACTAGCCAACCCAAAGGGTGAGAATGGAGCTCAGCAGTCTGCAAATAACCAAAGGCTGTTAAATACCAAGGAGGAAATGAAATGATTTAATGAAGCACACAAAGGTGTAACCAGAAGTAGTTGGACTTAATTAAGGAAAAGAAAATTGTAAATGAGTATCCAGAAAGATTCTTGCTAATGAAATATTGTAATCTGCAAAATCACCTTTGCCTGAGACTTTTAAAATGGGGTGTGATGGAATACAAATATCCTGCAGGTCAAGAGAGGTTTGTGTGTTTGTGGCATATGAATTTACAGTTAACGTGGGGCTGAGCCAGCTGAGGGTTAGCAGTCTTGGGCTCATCACATTTAATACTTCCCTATAGTTATTACAAATAATACGTGCATCTAAGCCAAAGAACGGTTTTATGCCATGTATTTTTGAGAACCATAAGCAAGTATCCATATGTTTTTGCTACCTTTGCTCATGTGTAACTGCTCCTTTCACTTCTGAAAAAAATATATATAAAAATCCCCAAAACCCAAGCACAAAACAGATAGTAACGAGTTTTCTGGTTAAAAAGTGGCAATGAAATCAGTATGTGAAAAAAAAACAAACAGGTAGGATAGCCTTTGCCAAAGTTCTCAGATCAAAAGATGTTTTCAGATCTGTCTTAGAAAATGTCTACTTTGCAGTGAAGACATTGTGAAGAGTCTGTGCTGTCCTGTCAGGAAGGAAAGCTGAGCTTGGCTGAAGCGTTTAGGCATCCCTACAGTGCAAAGAAGAGCTACAGAATTGCTACTGCTCCCTTGACATTAAAACCAGTAGCAACAGACCAGGGGAGTGACATTTCCATTTGTGAACAAACTGTGAATCATTAGCTCAGATATTTGAGAAATGGAGATTATTCTGAATTTACTAAAATGGCCAAATCTGAATTTATTTCACAGCTCATTAGGGAGCTGTGTATAATAAATTACCCAGCATGTTACGTTCAGCTAACCTGCCAACTCCCTGGTTTATTTTATGCTATTTTATGCTCTGTGTTGCTGAATGTGAATAAGTGCCTATTTGACCACCAGTGCTTCATTGTGCAAATGACAGAGACAGTGACTTGTTAGAACCTTTTTTTTTTTTTTTTTTAAGTCCAGGTTTAATTATATTATTATATTATTATTTATTTTCACTTGGCTACTCAGTCTCCATGTGCTCCGTGGTCCCACCTTGTCATCTCTAGAAAAGGTACTATTGCTGATGTAGGGGAGAGGGGCAGAGAAGGGATTCCTGTGTGTATTCTTTTTTTAAAATGTGATTTGGCTTTTCAAACAATTTTTTTTCTTTCTTTTTTTTTTTTCTTTTTTTTTTTTTTTTTTTTTTTTTTTCCAGTGTTATGACTATTACCTAAAATAGGTCTCCACAGAGTAAGAAAATGTTTCATTAACTTCTTTGGTGTTTCTAGTACAAAGAATAATTCGTTACTTGAACCACTGACATATATATATATGTAGAATTTTAATGTATTTATGCTTTCTAATAGCAAAATCTTTTGAAGTTGAGCTTTCATGAGATGTTTTCCTGTGGAGTACTTCCATTTTCTGCTAGTGCCCTTCATCAGTGGGATTGATTTTTTATGACTGGCTGTATGAGGCAGTGTGGGGCAATTCCTGTTTCCTCTGGGATGTTTGCATTGAACCTGGTCTAAACACAAATACTGTACCAATTCTGCAGATTTCCCACTTCTCTGTCTTGATTTCTTTAAGTCAGCAAAATCCATGACTTCAATATGTATTCTAGAGTGGCCATTGATTTTTTTCAGTGTACCCTGAGTTGTTGAAAACAAAACAAAACAAACAAACAAAACAGACACTATTGAGTACTCTTTTCTTGTATAAAGAGCACCCTGTGAAAGAAACACAAATTTCAAACGAATGCAAGTAGATTGGTGCTCAAATTGACGAGTATTCTTCCATAAAGTAAGTCACAATGTAGACTTCAATTTACAGGCTGGTATTAAAGGATCAGTGGCGTTCACAGGTACATGAAAACACTGCAGAGGTGTTAAGCCACCTAAATCCAGTGGCCGCATTTTTAACATCGGCCACTTCCCTCTGCCGGGACGAAGCTGGGATTTTGTGGGCTGCCATCTGAGACCTGCAGATGCCTTGCAGCAGGCAGGAGCTGTGAGCTTCACTGGAGACACACTGTGCCATACCGACTGTGTACCACTTCTGAAAAAAACAATTCCCCTCACCTCCACCCCAAATACATCTGCAAACTTCTGACCAATATCTTCTGACACTGACCAGAGCAGGGAACGGAGAGTACCTGCTATGTGTGACAGAATAGAGGTGTTTCCATTTTCTCCAAATCATACAGTCTACTTTAATTGCTTTCCTGTAATGATATAGCAATATGATGTTGGATTTGTATGAATAATTCAGGGCAGTAAAATGATAAAGTTATCAACAAAAGATGGCTTACGGTGATTATTTAATGCATTTCATAGATGTTTCAAAGACAAAAAGATACATCTGCAGGTGGAATGTGAAATACCACATTGAGAACGCATACAAATGTATTAACTCTATTACCGGGGTAGAGGAAAAATAAGAGTCAGCTGAAGATAGTGAATAAAACATTTTTATATTCCCCAAATGTATGCTCTCTTGTTCTACTAAATAATGAACAGAAGATCTTCTGAAAAATTCAGATAATCTCTTGTGCAATAGGTGCACTTTATTTTATGAAAAGGCACGGGAAGATGTAAAGAAGATACAAGGAGTCTTTTCTACTAGGCTGGTTAGTAAATGTGGCACTGCGGATTTTATGTGTAGGCTACACATAACAGGGGTTGTTAGGGCTTTACCTTAGAAATAATTATCTGAATGCTTCTTTCTTTGTCACCCTCACTCCCTGAGCCCCCACGCATTGCATGGTGTGGGAATGCTCACCTGAGGGCAGGTTAAAAGCAAAACATGAAATGTTGCAGCTCTTCAGTTTTCAGGCTGGGGCTGCATTTTGTGCTGCCTCTCCTGCCAAAGCAAGTGCTGGAACCAAAGGAACTGAGGGAAACTCAACTCAGCTTTTCAGCGCAAAACCCAGTGGCTGCTAAAGCCTCCTGATGGTTTCAGCTGTGCCAACAAAACGTGAGTGGTGGGGTGAGGAGAGCCCACCTTTTCACTTTTTCAGTAGTAAAGCTGGCTTGTATGCTTGTTCCCCAGCTTGGAGCGCATGCTTGGGTACCTCCTTGGTACTAAGCAGGGTGACTGTGGTCTGTGCTGCTCTTGTAAGCCAGCCACCATGAAAGCAGGCAAAGCAAGCAAGGTGTTTTACCCAGCAAGGGATCCTCCTGCATGCTTAATCCCCATTTCTGCACCTTTTCCTCAAGAAAGGTGTTTTTCCTGTCCGGTGTGATATAAGCATTTGGGGAAGGGGAGAACATGTGGATGCACATTTGGAGAACTGCCTCAGGCTCCTGCCAGTTTGCATATTCAACTGCTTCTGCTGCAGAGACTCCAAGGACTAAGTTGGCTCCATCACAGCCCGGGCAGGAGGCAGTGTGTGCACAGCCAGCCTGCTCAGAGGGGCTTGAGAGTTTACAGCTTAGACCTTGAAGGCTGTCCAAAGACCACTGCTTGTCATCTGCCACAGAGAAAAAAGGCTGTAAAGGTGCAGGCTCTGAGTTATAGGGACAAGTCCTAAGTCCCTCTGAAGATCAGATCACAGTTTGCTTTCTGCAAATCATTTGTCCATGCAGTGAAATCCTCCATGTCCACCTGCACTTCTGCAGTGCAAGCATCGCTGGACATCTGCCCCTGAAATAACCTTGAAGATTCCTCCTGTACAAGTGAATCACCTTGTTAAATAAGACCCCCCCCCCCTTTTTTTTTTTACATTCGTCCCCATTTAAAGACAAGTTAAAGAGAAATCTTTAGTGTTAGAGAAAAAAAAAAGGATCTTGATTTAATTGTCTTGTCTCTTTTTTCCCCCATTCTATTACCCTTTACACTATTCATTTACTCTTTTACTATTAAAATAGCTATCTGATGGTGGCATTACTGAGTGAAGTGATACAGATATGCTAAGTGGAGTGTGACAGATGAATTCCATAATTTGAAAACCTGCTAGCTATGAGGTAGCAAGCACTGCCTTTTTCTGGCTTTATTGACTATTAAAGCTCCATTTTGCAGTGCATACTGTTCCAATGACATGATTTTCCATGCAAAAAGTCTTGATTTTTTTTTTTTCCTGAAACTAAAAGGCTTCCCTTCTGAGATCAGATGGACTATGTAATTTTGGGGTCATTTACTCAGCCCTGAGAAAATACTTTGTTTAGTTAATAAAATGGCTTTTCATCCGCTTTTTAGAATATATTTTTTATAGGTAAATTAAAACCTTGCTTATTAATTGCAAGGCACACAAGTGCTGTTGGCTTTCTCTCAGTGCACCCATGCCAAGGCTGTTGATGGCCAGGACGTGGCAAGGCAAAGGGAGAGATCCTGGGCTTGTACAAATCCATTTGGTCTGAGCAATCCTAATGGGAGGTCTGACCACAAATCCCTCTTAATTCCTTCCTGTGATTGCCTTCTGCTCTAATTGCTCTGTGGAGGGGTACAGCAGTTGTCCTCTCGATAAGCTGACAAACTTTTTAGATTGGAACAGCAAAGCGTTTTCTGTCGGAGGAGGCTTCCACGTAACGGGCTAGGAGTGCTCATCTCTATTTTGGCTCAGTTCAGTTCAGCAGCAAACAGCTGAGGAGTAACTTCATTAAACGTGTGCTGTGTGGCCAGGGACCGTTGCTTTGCCTAAATCCATGCTTACTGTGGAGTGTGTTACTTTAAAGAGGGAAGGCTAGGAGTTCATTATGCATTTATTCTTGTGGTAAAGATAATTGTATTTGTCTCTCATACAGCAACTCTCATGGCCTTTGATATAGATGAATTAAACCTAACCCAGCCATTTGCTTTGCAAACAAAATCATACACATTTGTCTTTAAAAATCATCTCTCAAAATAGGCTTTTATTTTATATATGAATTTATTGTTAACAGAACTATGTGCTGAAAATGAAAGGCCAGATTTTTGATCCCAGTTACCCACTAAGCAATGGAAATAAATGTGCTGAGGCTAATAGAGATGCATGCAGATGTTTTCATGATAAAACAAACAAACAAACAAACCCAAACCTTGTCTGACTGTTAACTTTGGATTGGCGGCCTTGTCCTTTGCTTTGTGGTGGCAGTGTGGTAACTTGGCTTAAGTCTGGGGGGAGTCCTCTCATACTGGCAAGTTTTTTAGGAGATGAGACCTCAGGTACAGTTTCTGATTGTCTACAGTTTGGGATCCTTGCATCCTTTTTCTGAGAAGTTTGCGAATCCCCAGATTTAGGCCATGAACTAACTGAAGTGGATCAGAAAGCAGAGCTTTTATTCCTTGTGGATTTCTCAAGTTGTACATTTAGAGGGATATTCAGAGAGCTCAACCACAGGCATGCAAATCCACATTACAAGAAAAGAGTGTTTCTTTCCCAGGACAATTAAGAGAAGATGACCAGTTTAGAGGCTTTGATTTGCCTTCTATCCACTGACTATGTAGGAAGGGTGCAGCAGGCAGTATCCTGTGCTAGATGGTGTGAGCAGCCGTGTTTTATTCATTGCTAGGCTAAAAACATCTGAATGAGGGCTTTAAAAATAACTGAATTAAAAACTCTTTATCCCATAAAATGTTACAATGTGTTTTTGGGTTTTGAGAGATTTACTTTTTAACTGCTTTATCATGACACTTTTACTCAAGGACACAAACATGCTGGTGTTATTCAATCTAAACCAAGTTCCTTCTGGCTGCTCCTGTTGCTCAGCCTCCAGGTCACCTGCCTTTGAGCCCCCTGAGGGCTCCAGTTTTTGGTAAGCTCCCTCTGGCCAAACGCCCAGTCCACATGAACGCACTTGCTATGATTTTCAAAATCCTGCCCAGATGGTCTATGCCTGTGGAATAGTTACGATGCTCGATCTCCCATTTTCCTCAGGGGAGAAATACATAATTTAATTTGTGGGTTTTAGTAGTCTTACTAATGACTTTCTGCTTGTTCTGTTGTTGTAAGTAGCTACAGATGCTTTACTGGCACTTTTATATTGTCCCGTATTGTTGCTACCCGTTGTTCGATTTCAGGAGGGAGAGATGTAAACTGTACTTCAGCTTCTCTGGGACCAAGCTGACAGAGCTCCTGAAAATGAGGCACATGCTGCTGCTGAAGATTTTGCCTTCTTGCGTAGCATTTCTCAACAGACAGCTATAAAAAGTAGTTCCACGTGAGCAACTATCAAACCTGAAAACTTCGTCTCATGAAGTCTAAAGATTATCAAGTAGGAAACGGCCAACTTTTGGCTCAGAACTTGCCCAGTAGTGACACACAGCACATTATTAAAGCAACCCCTAAATATTTTGCTGGGGAAGATGCCTGACTCCTTTGTTATCAGCATCTCAGCAGTGCTGACTTCAGACTTGGGCCTGAGGAGCCCAGTTTGTCTCCTGACACCAAGGGCTGGCAGGTCTGTGCAGCATCCCACTGGTGATATTCCCCTACAACACAGGACGTGCTGGGTTTGTCTGTAGGGTTCCAGGGGCCTCCTCTACTCTTCGTAAAAGAACCTCTCCCTTTGTTTAGGAGTGTTTTAAAAAGCTGTGGTGCACTAGTTAATCATGTAAGAACAAAAATGATAATGTCATCAGTGCGCACTGGTAGGCTGTGCAAAAGGAAGATACAAGAATGCTGCTATTTTCCTCTTTGGACACAGATTCTTCTTTACCCTTGAGCACATCTCATATTATTCCAGTGCTACAGCTAGCTGAAAACAGAAATGTTTTCTGAGAGAAACTTTGAGAGAAAGTTTTTTTTTTTTTTTGGCCCTATTCATTAAATTTTTATTTTTATTCTGGCTGAAGAACTAAGTGTTTAATTTTAAATTGGTGTCAGTCTGCCAAGGAAGTCCTCTGAAAGAAATATTTTGAGGCTGAGCTTGTGGTTCCCTCCAGTTAGGTAGTCCCATGCTTAGCTTAACCTAATTCACACACCAGGGGTCAGTCTGCTTTGCTGTAAATGCTGTGAATTCACATGCTTATTAGAAACCCGAGGCCATTTTTTATTACTAAAACTGGATACACCAACAGTTCACCTTGAAGCTGGGAGCTCTGTACCAGCTAAATCTGCAAAGAAAAAAAAAAAAAAAAAAAGTGGACTGTGATCATGTTCCTTTACTAGTTATTTTCAGTGTCCATTCTTAGCTGTTGTGCTTTTGCATGCAAAATCAGCTTTTGGAGAACAGAATGAAACCCCCGGTTCCTTTTTATTGACAACAGCATCAGCAAAGCAGGTTCTTTATCTGTAAAGAGACTTGCAGGCACAGCCAGTTCCTCTCGGGGCTGACAGAGTGCCAAGAGCTCTGGCACAAAGACTGCTAAACCGGGTGGGCTCTCACACAGCATCTGCGGCGCTCGTACGTGGCTTGCTCTCCGTGGAAAGTCACAGCAGAAAGCAAACTGGAGCACGGTCTTTTGTACGGCAGCGGTGCCCGTGGTTGTCTGCAGCTCTGGAAAGAGAAAAAGGCAGAGGATGTGAGGGTGCAGCGGGGCTCTGTCATGCATGCACAGCGAGGAGCCCTCGTCGGCTCATCCCTGCCAGTCAGCGCAGTAGAGCATCGCACCAGGATTATGTCTGGTACATCTGCAGCACTACATGGCTTGCCAACTGCCTGACAGCTTGAGGTGCTGGGCACACGGAAAAAGAGCTGATGGTCAGGAAAGGAAGAGCAAAGCTGTATTTCACTGCTTTTTAGACAGGGCAAAGGGCCACTTATTTAATACAGTTGTACAGGGCACCTAGCAAGTGGGCTGAAGGGCGTGCGTCCTTCCAAATGTGGGCGCTTGGGTCTCCCGTTGCAAGGTGGCAGAGGTGAGCCAGGGTTCCTGGAGAGCTTCCTTGCTGAAAACAAATTCTGTATCTCATCAGCTTGGAGAACTAACTGTAACTGCATCAGGCTCCACTATGCAGCCATTGATTTTCCCTTTCCACTGGCAGATTTCTAGTCCTAGAGGATTGCAAATGTGATGCTAAATCCTCCTTCATGTTCCCTTTACATACAGGCAGCATCTTTAGCCATTTAGAGTACTCCACACAGTGGGGTGTATTGTTTCTACCCAGGGGACGTATTTTAGAGCGTTTTTGAAGGTGTTTGTTTGAACTGAGTTGCCTTCTGCAGCACGAAGGCCTGGCAAAGCATGCTGACAGCTTACAGGTAATCTGCCCGTGTTGTTTCCCAGGCTGTTAAATGCCACAGCTCTCCTTGTCACATCTGTCTGTATGACCCTGTCCCCAGAACGGTTACGGAAATTGCAAGAGTGCCTTATAGAGACAGTTGTCAGCCTAACAGCAGATTTGGCTATTTTTTCTTTTTCTTTTTTTTTTAAAGCAGAGATAATTCTGACAGCTGGATGTAACCACACGGTAGCTGTCCTGAAACTGCTTGCAAGCTGGTCCCAGCCGTTCCTGACTAGGAGCTGTTAAACTGAAACTCGGACTCCAGAGGTGTTGAGTGACACGCTGTTGTCCTAACGTGTCAAGCAACAAGTGCTGTACTTCTGGCAGCCCAAGCTCACATATCGGCTCCTGTCAAGGTTTTAAAGTCTGCTGTGGCAACCGTCTGCTTTAGCTTTGCTCCTCCTCAGAGCCAAAGTACTTACTGCTGAGTTGTCACACGCCAACTAATACAAACAGCAAGCCTCTCTCCGTCCTGATTTGCTAAAGGACGAGGGAAGTCTGTGCATCGTTAGCTTCACGTAAATTACTGCATTCTTTCCTGCCAACTTTGCTGTACAGGCAGCAATTTTGGGGGCTTTAAAATACTTCTGTGCAAACATTGTTTGTGATAAAGAAAAGCGTGAATAAACAGGTATGTGTCAGCAATAGGAAAACAGGTGGAAAATGCTTTCTCACTATGAACACAGGTGTTTCACGAGAAGCCACAGAAGCATTTCTGGCGCTAACAGTACCGTTTGCACATGGAGCTCGAGTTTAAAGCCCTCTTCTTCTCAACTTCCACGTTCAACTTCCGAGCTCCAGGATGCTGTGTGGCCTAAGACCACTTGTTGGTGTCTGCATTTCTGTCTGGTGATTAGCAGTGGCACTGAGGGAGGCTTGGAGCCCATACAGGCAGGTCGTGGAGGAGCATTCAGCATTGTACCTTGCAGAGGGGAGGCAGCTGTCTCAGCAGGCTTTATTTCAGGTTACGTGGTGGCCTCAGGTGCTGTGAAGATGGCAGGCTTGATGAGGTGGTAATCTTTAAAGGGTGATGCTGCCAAATTGCAGGCAATGCCTGGGCTGTTGTCACCTACTTCTGCTTCCAGCAGAACAGTCTGAACACTGCTTCCCATGCTGGACTGGGCCCTATACCTGCCAGGAAAGCCGTCTGATCTCAGGAGAAACATCTTTCTACATCTGATATGTGTGCAACAAGAAGAGCACTAAGCTGGGGGGCAGGTGCTGTAGCTGTGTAGGCAGAAGAGACTAAACAGGAGGAAAAAACAGAAAAAAAAACAGAGTTATTCAATTTGATGAGCATATTTGCCTTTGTTTTTTAATTTTGCTGCATTTTCCAACCTTTTCAAGCTTGAGAAAAACTGGCACTGGCACTGCTTGAATGAAATAAATAAAATCCTCTTTTGTTCGCTTGTCTAATTCCAAGTTTTCAGGAATTCTGTTGTTTCTCAGAATCCTCTTGCTTTGAGAGAAAAATGTCACAAGAATTTTTTTTTTAGTCAATGCATGTAAAAGTAAAGGACTGATCATTTTTCTTTTAGCTCAAGATTAATTTTCAGGCTGAGACTGAATATTAAAAATGTCATACTAAATGGCAACTTTTCTGAAAACTTGAAAATTTGTGAAAGAAGGAGGTTACACTGACAGATGTTTCAGAAACCCAATTAATGAAGCCCTGAAATGAAAAATACTAAGAACGATTTTGCTTCTTCTGTAAGAAGAAATAACACGTAACATTTCAAAAAGCAATAAAAGACCAATCACCCCAAGAACTTCAGATAAAAAGTAAGATTCTAAAACAGGAGCTAGGTTTCCTTTTGCCATTGTAAACCTTTTAACATATCTATGGATAGAAAAGTCTGAAAAAAAAATTGATTATATTTTGTGCCAATTATTGAGGTTTCAGGATTTTTCTACATTCTACATTAGCAAACAAAACCTTTTGAATATTTTTTGTTGCTGAAATAATTCCTTTTGAATGCTGCAGGTGTTCTAGCCAAGGCTTTTCTTCTCTCTTACTGGTCAGAAATTATTAGAGAGACCAGATTGTTCGCACCATCAAAATCTTTCCATCCGAATGAATAAATCTTTGGAATTGCTTCAGCATCAATGCAAACTGCATATTTGAACAACATTTTGTTTTCTTGAAACTATTCCAAGTAACTCCAACTTCACGCTGCACATAATGGCTTTACACAAAAGAAAGATGCATTTAATCTCAGCCGTAAGAGCCTGGATTTGCCAGTGCTGTACTGCTGCCATTTGTGGGAAATGGCTTTGCATTATTGTATTTCTTTTCATCATCCTTACTTAGTGGCTGATCAGCTTCTGATAATGTGGTTACTTGATCTTACCCTGTGAAATTACAATCCATTATCCAGTCAGGATGTGTTCTCCGAGGGGGATTTAAAAAATGCTGTCAGTAATATACTCAGTTGAAATTAAGTGAGGACACGAAGTAAGCTTACACTGCTGCAAAGTACAGGGTATCAGCACCTGTCCTACATTAATCCACTCAGTCTTCTCCATTTAGTCTGTGGTGTGGCACGATAGCTTGAAACTGCAAGGAAATGCAGGGAAACTTGCTGTCTGTCCACGCTCTGAGGACTCACATCAACCTAGGTGCTGCTTTGTTGCTTGCTTTGCTGCTGGGGTGCAGGCTGGCAGGGAGCTCATCACACCACTGAGTTATAGAAGTCAAACCATTGGCTTTCCTTACGGGAGCAACTGCACATCACAGTGCCCAAAGCCTGCTGTGAGACCCTGAAATGAAGTCAAACAGTTGGAAGTAAGTTTCTAACCTTTGATAACTGAGGTGCCTTTTTTTTTGTTTTAGGTAGGTTGACAATGGAGTAAGGGAACATCACACCAGTATTAAGACCAATGTACAGAAACACTTGTTGCCATTGAAAGGGCAAAGGCTGCTTCAGGAGATGCTAAGGGCTGTGGTGTAATGCTGTAGGGAACACACTGCAGGTAAAGGTCAGCACAATTTTACTCATAAGTATTTATTGAGCAAGCTTGGGTGACATTTCTTTATCTCCCCAGACTGCTTTCTAATCTTTGTCTCGAAGAAACTATTAGGACAAAGTATATTGTCAACATAAAACTCAAAACATGAACAGTGCTGAATCCCCCAATTCCGACTGTCTGCTAAGTGCCAGGACCCAAGACCATACATACTTTTAAAAAAGCATCCTTGTTTTTAGACCATTAGAGGCTAAGTTCTCAAAACATTTGTCTGTTTCTAAGTGCTACACAGTGACCCAAGTGAAAAAGAGTAACAGAATGGATAAGTAAAAAAATTGATGGAGTATTTCACAGTCACATACTTCCAAAAACCTAGTATTTTGGGGAAAAGACCCTCTTATGACTCAAATAATGAATGAGTAACATCAGGAATATCAATATTTACATTGATTTACTTGAACTACAAACGAACTGAAAATCCTAAACTACACAACTGTGGATGTTGATGTAAATGAATAATTTCCTATTTATTGTCAATAACATCAAGAGAACGATCTAGCAGGTCACCTACAATAAATCCTTTGGGCCTCTTCATTACCTGGAGCATCTCCTGAGGCTTCTCCATCGCTGCAGCCCAACAGCTGTCTTTTACAATATATCCTGACTGCCATCGGATTTGAGCTCTGCATATTTTGGTAGGGAAGTAGGTGTGTGTTTGTGTGCGAGGGGCTGGGGGCGGAGGTATCACTTCGTACTTCTTGCAGATAGGATTCCCGTACCCGTCTGTTGGCTGTCCTTATTTCTCTCAGGTCTGTTGCGGATGTCTGTGGGGGACAAAGTGAGTGGCGGGTTTGGATTTGATTTATATTGCAGACTTGCTTGTAGCTGATACCACCCACATCAAAGTTTGAAGTCAGTTTTCAAAGCCAGAGTGGTAAAGCCAAGCCACTAGAGTGAGATTTTAAGTAGGGAGCAAAACTCCATTGCTGTGGTTGTGAGTCATAAAAACTCCTCCTCCTGCTGGGCTGGGACAGCATTGGAGATCTTCAGGCCCTGCTGGCAAGCTGGTCCCTGGGCTCTCCCTTCCCACAGCCTCTGAAGGATGCACTGTGAGCCGTGTGGCTTTTGGTCGTGTGATGTTTATGTTGTGCTGCTCACAGGGTCAGAAAGGTTGGCATCAGCTGCTGCAGAGCCCTGCCAGCTTAGCTGAAGGGGAGGAACGTGGGGGTGTATCACTTTTGCCCCTCCCTAGCAATAAAACTAAGGTCTGGTTCAGACTTTAGAATTATTTAAAATAGCCTTAGGATTATTTTATGTTCAAGAGGCAGTGCTACTGTGCTTTTCTTTCCCGTCCATTTCTTATTTGCTAAGAGATTTAGCTTCAAAATAGAAAATTTAAGTACCAAGTGGTTGTAGCAGTGCCACTGCAGCGCTTTTTCTAAGTGTCTTTGCATGTGTGTGTGTAGAATATTTTAAATTCAGTTTGAGGCTGCAAACATAGGCATGTGCAAGCACAGAAGTCCCAGAGCTTCTTCATGCAGGTTTTTCTTTTTTCTTCCTCCTCCCTCCCCCCCAAGCAATGCAGCCTTTAATTACATGAGAAAATGGCACTTGGGAATAATGGTATCAAATTTTCTGTACAATACACTGCAATCTTAGACCTTTGTTTCTAACAGCCAGGCTTAAATGTGTAAATTCCTACTCTGCTTCAGAGGCACATTCTAGTTGTTACTAATGTGATATGAGTAACAGAATCAAAGTGATGTTTAAAAGCATTATCTCCCAAAATAATTCAGTACACCGATTCCTAAACTCGCAGCCAGATGCAGCCAGGAGCCAGACAAACAAATTATCGTTACTGTTTTTACAAATGTTTTTTCAAATGTTCTTTTGCATCAGGTCCTTAAATCCCTCCTCGGACGGCTGAGCAGAAAGAGCCTGCACAGCTACCTTCCTACCTGGCTCTGAGCACATCAGACTCAAGATGTGGAGCAGCTGTAATGAGATCAAGCACAGTACCAGGCCTATGGGCTGCACGGCTGCCAAACGAAGGTGGTGAGGACATGAGGCACGATGTGGACCACCTGGACATAGCAGTTGGGATCTCCGTTAGAAAAGAGGTCTTGCTGCTTGTTTGCGACACAGTTGCTCTCAGCACCTCCTTCCCCAGCAAAAGGAGTGGCAGAATCTCTAAAAACGATGAACCAAGGTGCGTATGTGTGACCCTGGGACTCTGCTTCGAGTCGCGTGTACCTATAGCACCGAATACGTGGGTCTTTGGAGTCTGTGACTCGGGCGCATTGCTCATTTCTTTGGGATCATGAAGCCAGTGGGAAATGAATAACCTTGCTTCCACCAAGCATGCGGAGTGCACAAGATAACAAAGTGATGTGTGAGGGGCTGCTGACAAGCGCCTGGAGTGACAGAGATGGTCCTGTGCTGCTGACTTAACAGGCGACATTTTGCAGACCGAAAGGAGGTGACCGGTTCTCTGGGGAAGAAGGGGTACAAAACATGACCAAAGGTGACAAGGTACTTCAGAGGCACCTTCAGAACCCATCTGAGATCTCATGAGATCCCTTTGTGCCAGGCTGTCTACAAAGGCACAGCTCAAGAGAGCGTCACAAGAGAAGGAACATGGTCTGAGAAGGGGACAGCAGAGAAACAGCAGCTCCCTAACCACACAGGACATCCAGTGTCCTAAACAGAAACTAAATGCCAAGTCCTAGCCCCTGCCCAACACTTTGTGACCCATTTTGTCATGGCCTGCACAGCCTGATGCTTGTTTAAGATGCTGTAGGAGAAGTATTGTAAAAAGCCAACTGCAGCTGTTGCTTGTGTTGTGAAAACATCAGCAGTTCAGTAAACCAGAAATAATGGCCCTGCCCCATCTGGAAAAAAAAAAAAAAGTGCCTTTCAGAGGGATGGCTTAACAAAGTGCCTGCCCATCTGCAAAATGGCTCATGTCAGGCAACTGCCAAGTGAGGAGAGGAGGTAGAGCCACAGTATGAGAGTTACGCCCATCTGCGTGGCCCCTTGAAAATATCGGCCCCTTATATGGCAGGAAATCGTGTGCGAGTTGAAGCTGTCAGAGATGATATAATTCTTGCTGAGTGCTCTTTGACTCCTCTCAGAGTCCCAGAATGAAGCTGAGGTCAGGGAGTCAGGGTCTGTTGGCTACTAGCCCTACCAGAGCTTTCAGAAGCTGCTGCACCAACAGCTCGTACCTATGTAATGCTGATCAGTAACTCTCACCGTTGGGCTGATTGCTGGCCCCTCTGCACGGAGACTCTCTGTCTCCAGCATTGAGGTCTGAGGCAAGGTACATCTACTGCACTGAAAGTGAAGATGTGCCTTTTGTCCAGTAATTACCATTTCCCTTCTGTGTGCACTTATACATAGAACAGGCTGAATTACTTCACATCAAGCCAGGAAAACCAAACCCATTGATGACATGCAAGCAAGTGCAGTACTTGGCACATCGATGGCAAAATATCCACTGCTTTTATGCACCTCTCTTTTAGAGCTTAGGTTAATGGTGGTAACTCTATCCCTGATTATTTTTGGTAGAGTAGCTCTCACACACCTTATATGCAAGTTTTATATTTGCCTTCAGTCAGTCCCCACTCACTGTGTATAGGAATGGTGCTACAGTCTACCCCTAGGTCCTTAATTTAATACAATGAAGAAAGGGCCAGTCATCTTCAGGGAAACCCTACTAGTTACTGTTAGCTAAGGACTTGGCTCTCTAAAGATTCTTTTTAATCAAAATATTAAAATCGCATATCATTAGCTTAGATTGGAAAAAAAATCTTTTTTTTTTTTTTTTTTAATATCGTTTTCCTGGAATTGATTCATGTTCATGAAATCTTCATTGGTCAGTAATAAAATTCTGACCATTTAAATGTCTACAGGAAATCAATTTTTTTTTTCTCAGAAGTTGTCATTTTAAATAATGTTTTAAATATACCCACAATAATGACTGCAACACCAATTCCTTATATGCACAGAAATTAGTCTTAATTATCAATATCGTTCTTTTTTGCTTTTCAGTTGAAATAAATTTAGAGATATACTAGTATCACAGAATCACAGACTCATCTAGCTTGGAAGAGACCTCCAATATTACAACTGACTGATTCATAGATTTTAAGGCTAAAAGGGGGTACTATGTCAGTCTGTGTCATCAGTTGTTCAGCAATTTATACAGTTTCCTTATAGTATTCTGTTGAATTAAGTGTACTTCACACTTCAGGACAATTTTGGGCCTATGTGTTCTGTGATCTTATCTGTCTTTTTATTAAGGCCCTTACAGTCAGCCAATAATTTGTCATTCTCCACGCTCTGACCAATTTGTACCAAAATTTCTGCAAATTTTCTCTGCTTGCTATATCAGATCTACCAGGGTTGTGGTTCCTTTCACTCCTTTCATCTAGACTCAGAGACAGGCATACTTCTTTGATCACAACATAATCTTGTACAAGTCTAATGACAACGTTTTCTTTGGATGCTGATTTGTTTTCCCTCAGTGGCAAAACACTAACTGATTTCAGTATAGCCAAAATTTCATCCTTATTGATACTGGGTAACTAGTATTCTATTTCTGCACTGCCATAATCAGCGCTTTCCACTAACAGAGTCAACAAAGGCATTTCAAAGGCTGCACGACTGCATCAACAAATAATAGGGCTTTTCTCAGACCTTAGCTACCCAAATGTTTGCCATGTCATATGGACGTGTAGCATCTTAGTTATAAGTTGGGGCCAGCCTATTTAGTCAGAACATCTGGCTAAAGAATCATAAATAAATTAGACTACTGCTTGGTGTTGCAATGCCCAGTGCTGTCACCACTGAACTCAAGCCTGCTCATGAGTTCAGCGCTTGCTAATTTGCTGGTTCTTTCTCATGTGTCTTTTCCATATGTCTATACGCAGCACACAGGTTTCATGTATGCAGGCGGATCCTCCAGCACTTTAGCACATTTATAAATTGCATGTAGTATGGATTATTCCTTGATGTAGGAACAACGAGACTCATGCAAATGAAGATAAGCATATGTGACAATTTTTCCAGGAGAGAAGCTTCAGCTGGGAAATGGCCTTCCCTGGGGAGGATCCCCTCACTCTCTTTTTTAATTTCTGCAAAAACTTACCAATTATTTTTTCAGTTATTTCAAAGGACTTCTTGCCATGTGCCGCTGGAAAAGATGTGGTGACCACTAAATTTTCTGCAATAGCAGAATCAAAGATAAGAGATTAGTTCTGATTCTACCCCCATCTCCCAGAGGGGGTGTAGTTGTGTAGTCCCCTTTATCTTGTTGAAGGTTTTTTTTTTTTCCACTTAATTAAAATTCCTTGGTGTCATATGAACCTATATGATTTTTGTGATTGTAGTTTTCCTGAGGTTTTGCCATATAGAAATGTATTCATAACTTACTCTATGCTTGTCTGTAGAAATCTGTGGTGGCCTTCTAACACTGTAATCCTAGGCAGCTCAGGGAAATTTAGGGAGAATCTCAGGATGCAAAAGTGCTGCTATTTATCATTAAAACATATAAAAAGCCCTAAAAGGAAAAATAAAGTTTAAACAAGACTTGGGAAAGCCCTTTCAGAAAATACATGTTGTTTTAATTAAATCCTTATTAATAACCATTAAGGCTTTTTTTTTTTTTTTTTTTTTTTTTCCCCTGCAGACTTTCATTGTGAAAAGTAGTTGCAAGGAAAGAATAAAAAAATAGAAAAGTGATCAAAGCCCTGAATTAGTGTCTTTATGGTTATAATTTCCATTACTTCAGCTGAATTTCCCTGGTGGAGCTACGAGGAAACCTCTACGCTATTCAGTAACAGCCAGTTCACGTACTAAATACAAACAGGTACAAAATCCTCTCAATATTTGCAGGCAACCCCAACGTTTTGCTGATCAGCTCCTTGCATTTTGTTAGTGAAAGTGCTTGGGGCCTCCATGAGAAAGAGGGAAGATTTTCAGAATAGATGATTTCTGACATTGCTTTACAGCTACATATTATGGGTGTGCATACACACACAATATATATATATATATGTATATGTATATACACACACACGCACGTACCTATGCATATGCCTATCTGTGGGCACTTTTAAACAGCTGTCTCAGTTGATAACAGTGCAATTTGCTGCCACTCATTTCTGATTTCTCCAGGGCTCTGGAATTTCAGGGTCAGACTTCTCACATTAGGGAATAAATATAATGTGTTGTTTTAAATGATGGTTTAAATAAAAAGGAAAAAAAAAAAAAAGCAGCAATACAGCACATCACAATAGTCGGTTAAATATAGACACGGATTACAGAGCCATTGTTTTCACTCCTGCTAAATAAGACAGTACTCTTAAAATGGAACGCCACTTGACCTTTCATGTCTCATCAGTCTGTGATTGTATTTAACTGATGCGGGGAGGAAACATTTTCCCCCTGGAACTGTCCCCTGTTGATATGACGGTCACTACTGCTGGGTCGCACAATGCTCAGAAGGCAGAAACTCGGTGCCCCCGAACACAAGAGGGATCCTGCAGCTCATGGAGGAACTTTGTCCATGTCCCACAATAACACACGCTCTTTTTTCAACTTTTCTCAGCTTGTGCTCTCTGCTGGCAATCTCAAATCACCACCAGTGCTCAAACATTCAAAAATTACTTACTTTGAAGTGGAAATCCTTGATGTGCAAAGCAAGAAGCAGATCTGCATTGTGGACAAGGTGAGTGTATTATTCCAGCATGCTGGGGATGTGCCTAGTACACGCAGTGCCACTTCAGGGATTCTGTTTTCTCTCTGCTGTGATCTTCTTCTGTAATGGAAACACTTTCATTCCTCCCTCTGGGAGATACTCAAAACTTCTGCTCAGTCACGATCCTTGTCTGTTTTCTTCTAGGATTTCTACAAATGAACCAACACTGATTTCTTTTAGATCAGACTGTGCTTTGGACTCAAAATATGTCCTTTGCATGTCTCTGAATGTAACGCTTAGATTACACTGATGATTTCATAGCATGATACTTAAATGTCTGCTTCAGAATAGATATTAAAATGTAATACATTTGCAAAGCTTAGCATTTCTGTAATGTTATGGGTTCTTGCTGTATTTTCTATTTTTAAAAAAGTGACTTAGCTGAGTTTTTTTTTTTTTTTAATGTTGTGAATCATTAAAGATATAAACTACATTCAAATTGTCTAAGCAGAATGAGATGACTGGGTAGGAAAGAACTTTACAGCACAGTAAACAGCAGTTGAAAACATACCTCGTATTTACATTACAGTTTTGATTCATTGTCTCTCAGCAGAAGAGCTGGCCTCTTGCATACCACTGAAAATGGGAATCCTAAGCTGTTTAGATTGCAGGAATTTTCTGTAACACAGTAGAATTTTGAGACTTACTGTTGCAAAAAGAAAAAATAAAAAGTCCCTGTTCTCACTGGCAACAGCTGGAACTGGTGGATAAGTTTTACTTTCAATGTTTAATTCAATGGCTTTGAAACATTCAGGGTGGCATACTACCAGATTTCTAGTGCTCCTGGTCACTTAAAGGGTGTTTTTGCAACGTGTGCCTAGTTAAAGGCAAATGTCTGATTTGTTCATTCTTAAAAGGCCAACAATTTTTTGAGTTTTTTGAGTTTAGCTAAAGGGGCAACATGTACAAAATGATCAAACAACTATGATGGTTGTCAGAACCAGTTCTAGTGACAGCATCTGTATTATTTGATTTACCGAGTAATATTTATACAATTATAAAAAAGGGCTGTCTAAACACTGTACTGAACGAGGCTTCAATCCATGAAAAGAGTGACCATTTTTCTTATCTTAAACTTTTGTATATTCTCATTAAAAATATATATACTAACAAAAACAGAATTAGGCCAAGAGTGACATTTCAGGAATCCTTCCATTATGCATGGAAGATCTGCAGTCTGTTTTAATTCAGAATTCAGAATGTCTATTTTTATTCAGAATTTTATGAGCCTGAGCATTTTCTGCACCTTTCCCAAACATAGACTCTGCCTCTGTAGTGGTGGCAAAAAGAGTTATGAGTGGTGATTGCAAATTACTCTCCAGATGGAGGTAAAATACACACAGAGGAGCAATAGCAACTGTAAGCTGAAAGCGTCTGCTCAGGAAGCTATGTTCAATTTACATGGCCACGGCCAGCCCTTCTGGGCATCGACCTAATTTATGGATGTATTTATTTATTTATTTAGGCACAGTACCCAAGGGATTGGTACAAACATAGTGTAAGGCAGAGATTTCCAAGACTGCCTAAAGAATTTGTATTTAGAATGCTGATTCACCTGGGTATCTAAGTCCCTTAATTTGCTATAATAAGCCCTTTCTAAGGCAACCCTGAAAGCAATGCAGTTGAGTTCCTTACTTCAGTGAATACTTGTTAGTACTGGTGAACCTCATTTCAGCTGATTATTAGAGCAATCAAGAGACCATTTCACTGGATTATGCATAATCTTCTGCTTAATTAAATACAACATTGATACAGACCCAACTTGACACTTCTAATGCCTCTTTTCTGTTTGTAAGATAATTATGATTAGCTTCATTTCTCAGGGTTGCATGTAATTAATTCTTCTCAGGATGTATAACAGGAGAGAATAGGAACCATATATTTTAAAATGTGTATATTTATGCTCTTATTGAATATTGTTAGTAGTTTAGAATATTATGATTTAGCAAATGTATTTGTAATAGTCTCAGATTAATAAGTCTGAAAGAAACAACTAAGTTAAGAAGACCCCTTTCTTTCTCCACCTTCTGGAAACAGGCAGTGATTAGATGATTAATGAGCTGATTAAATACCAGCCAATGCTTCCAGAGGTTTAGTTTCTACAAGACACTTGCATATTCATATGAATCCAGTTCAGATTAGTAGAAGCTCTGTAAAGTCTAGAAAGTGATGATACACCTAACTGGTTTTGGTATTTAGAAAGAAAAGTTGTCTTGTGCTCAGTGCAGTGTCAGGGATTTGGAAAAGGTGTGTTCAGCTGTGTGAGCTTAAGCAATCAGTTGACATGAGAAGGCTCTGGATCAGGCATAAGTAACTGTGAATTAATTCTCCAGCTGTAAAATGATAATAACATCATCTCCTTTGGCTTTCTTACCCACCTTACACTTTGGGGAAGGATCAGCCATGTAATATAATTGAGCTGAGTGGTTAGTCTAAGGTCCTGATTGTCTTGAAGATTGGCTTAAAGGCACAGAATAAATACATATTAGACTGGTTTTAAAGCGTGTAAGACACATTCACTTCATACTGCAGGCTTTTGCAGAGTCAGGAAAGCCAGAAAAAATACTGAAAGAAAGCAGTAGAAGAGGAAAGCCCAGATATTTTATCACATAGTCATTCCCTCCAGGAGCTGGGTCTTGAATACCTAATCCTGCAAAAACTGAAGTAAATTCACTGTCAAGTCTTTCTGCACTTGTGTGCTTGTACATAAAATTCTTTTTAAAACTAGCATTACTTTAATATTGTCAACCTGCTCTGGCGACTTTCTCTGCAATGGATATAACATTATGCATTTAGTTTGGTGCAGATGAACTTTTCTGATGAGTTACTGAAATAATTTAAATGAGAAACAAAACCAACGTAAGATATTTTTCCCCAGAATTGCTCTTGGTACTAAAATGAATTCTGAGGTGAGAAGTCATGGAGAAGAGGCTTCAGACTTTGGGGGCATGGAGAGACGTGAGGAAACACAAATCTGTTTCAATTTTTATTTTCCCCCCAGTTATTCTTCAAAATGTACCCAAACTACTTCTGGCAGAGAGCAGGCACTGGCAGTATGTAGACAGAAAGGGCTACCTTTGGGAGATGGAAAGAGGACTCATGAAGATGTAGGAAAAGCTAATTTAAACCTGAGCTAACAGGCCCATCCATCTGTCCTTAAAAGTTAAATGCTCAGACCAGTTACCCTAGGACCAGACTCGTGAGCAAAAGATATCTGCACACTTACAGGATTGCAGCAGTGGCACGCAAAGCACTGAGGTTTCAAGGGTGCACCTGAGCAGCCCCGTCCACTCCACGCTGCCTGTGAAACAGCAGGAATCCAGGAGCGTGGGTCCATTTCGTTAACAGTCACAGCTCTTCCTTCCGTCCCGCTCCTCAGGTGGCAGGCTTTCTCTTGAAGAAATTCCCATCTGTCTGTAAAGAGCAAGAGGCTGTGTATTTAGAGTTGATGAATATTTTTGTTTGAAATATTTCCAATGAAAACCAGTTTGCGTAAGGATTCTGGCTCCCATTTTTACTTCCAAAAAGTTAAGAAAACTACAGAGCATGAAAAATTCACGAAGTCCTAAAAATAAAAGAAAATAATTCTTTTTGCTGTATTTTTAAACAAATAACCCACATTTTTCATCGCCAGCCACAACTTATGAAAGATACATAGCTACTCAAAAACTGTTTTACTTGTACATTATTCCAAGAGCCTGAAGTAGGTTAGTTTTAAGGTTATCGATGTGCAGTGATTTGATTTATAAATTCCGTTAAGGCAACTTGTAACTGTTTCTGTTATAGCATTCATTGGATAATATTTTTTTCTTCAAATTAACTTGTAGTAAAATGTATTTTCCTTCAAATGTAGTGCAATGTAATTAATTTTGCATGAGTTGCTTTTAAGGCAGAAAATGTTGCACAATATTGTTTTACAGAATAAATCACCTTTGGGGAAACCAGCAGAGAAAGCTTTTTCCCCATCAAAAGTCTTGGAGCTCAGTAGTTTTGTGCTTCCCGATTTTGCCAACTAAGCTATAAGTGGAGGTGCAAACTCAGGTTTTGTCAGCTGCACAGTGGCACTCCTTTCCTAAAAAAAAAAAAAAAAAAAAGTTCTTAAGGCCTACAGAAGAGAACTTGCTTCCTAAGATGTGCAGGAAGGAGTCTCTTGCCTTGGTGGACTGCAGAGATTATAGGGTTATAGGGTAGATTTGTTCTCCACTGTGCCTTGCACTGGTCCTCCATGCATCCTGTGCCTTCTCCCACTGGAATCTCCTCAGGTACTTCCATATTTGATTTCTTTATATATTTCAAGCACAATACTGTCACCTCTTGCAATTTTGCCACAACTCACTCTTATTTATTTTTTAAGTCACCATCTCTTGCAACCATGGAAATGCCAAAATACTTTATTTAGATTTTAGGTACACTTCACCTCTCTATTCTGACTACTGGACACCCAGAAAACTGAAAGTGAATGAAAAGAACTCATAATTTACTTCTTTTTTTTTCTGTTTCATGATTCATAAATTCACAACTCAGATGGCAGACTTTGGAAAGCTGAGTTACTGGTAGGAAATGTTGGTGGTTAACAGTATATATACTATAGGAGCATTTAACTGTCTGTGAGCATAGACCTGCCGTGCAATGTCTGCAGTAAAAGTGATGCGAGCATTGTTATTTTTCTTAAATTAAAGGATCTCTGTGTAGGGTCTGTCCCTTTTTTACACATTTTTGTTGCACCCAAGCATAATACAAGCCTATGCATCAATCCATCCATTTATATACACAACTTCTTGCTGTTAAATGTAACACAGTGTGTAGAATCACAGGATGGTTTGAGTTGGAAGGGACCTTAAAGATAATCTAGTACCAAACCCCCTGGCCTTGAACGCTTTCAGGGATAGGGCATCCACAGCTACTCTGGGCAACCTGTTCCACTCTCACCACCTTCAGAGTAAAGAATTTCTTCCTAATATCTCATCTAAACCTACCCTGTAGTCCCCCTTTAGCTACTGGCAGGCCACTGTAAGGTCTCCCTGGAACCTTCTCTTCTCCAGGCTGAACCACCCCAACTCCCTCAGCCTGTCTTCACAGGAGAGGTGCTCCAGCCCTCTGAGCATCCTCTTGGCTCTTCTCTGGACTCACCCCAGTGGGTCCATGGCCTTGTGCTGGGTGCTGAACGCAGGGCTTATATTTTGATTTCTTTGAAAAGGTTGTCTGTGCCTGAAGACGTTCACAATTTTGGTTTGTAAAGCACCTAAAATAATAGCACCCTTCTATCTGCACACTGCAGTTTAACAATAAAATGGAGTTTCTCTTGATTTACACTGGCATGACAACAAAATCAGATGCAGGCAGAAATAATACCTGCAGTATCAGAAACCTCTTTTTCTCACCTGCAGGTTGCATCTCTATCACAGAAAGTGGGCAGCCAAAAGAGCAGTCATCACCAGCTCTCTCTTGCATACTCATATCTAGTAAATAAAAATAACTTCTCACATCACAACTTGGAGGCTATTCTTTACATACCACATTCATATAAGGGGAGCAAATGCAATTATGGAAGTACGCAATGCAACTCAGCAAAGAAACTCACTGCAGTATCAGGGCATTGCCTTTTACAACAGACTTTTCTCATTTGTTTCTTACTAGGGAAGAATAGTATTGAAGTCCTTTTCCACAAGACAGATATTTAATTGCCTTGTATACTTTTTTTTTTTAAATCTTGTAATTTTAATATTTATAAAATATCTCGTAAATGTAAATTTTTTTCTTGTGGGGAATAAGCTGAACCTATGCATTTCCACAGCTGCCTCATTTCATTTCATGGGCAGGGATTTTTGAGATCATCTTTCTCATTCAAGCAGTCTCTCTTTACAGATGCCCTGCTTCTGTTTGGGGCTTCTTTTTTGTGCCAGTGCTGCCCAAAGGAATTCAATAACCAGCTGTGTCAAAGGAGGGGGGCTTCTTTGAGAAGACTACATGTTGATACTAAGTCCCACAAATTAGGAATTCCCACAGCAATGCAGGTGAAGAAGCAGAGACAATAAACTGGCCGAATGCAGACTCATTGCTGTATAAATCCTCTTTTTTATTTTCTTTTGGAAGGAGGCTTTTGTGGTGTCGGTGTCTTTTGCTGTATGCTTTCACCACATACAGCTCAACAGGGAGCTGGTCCCTGCTGGTAGGCACCGCAAATAAATACATTACATTTGCAAACATGTTATAAAGTCTATGCATTTTCTTGCCTGTAAGAATTGAATCTTATGCCTGCTCCTACTGTTGGAGGTGCTGGTAGTAGTATTTTCTTCCTCAGCTTTTAGTTAAACATATTCAAATTCTATTGAAGCAATGCATTACATTAATTTCTTCCCACTCTACTAGAAATTCACATTGGTTTTATGTCAATATAGCTACAGAGAGCTTCACATGAAAAGAGGCAACTGGGTATGTTAATTTCTGTTTGTAATTACCACTCTTATTTCAGTACAGCTTTTTAGATGCAATACCTGGAGAATTGGCCTTTGGTTTATCTAGAAGAGGGAGACTGAGGAAGGGAGAAGCTGGTAACTTCAGGGCATTTCACGTTTATAAAGGGATGGTTTAAAGAATTAGAGAAGCCACTAGCAAAGACTGATGCTTCCAATGATACTAATTTTCAGAGCTTAGAAGTGCTTTTAAATGACAGGTTTTATGCATCTCTTATTTTAGTTATAAAAATCTAAGCCTGGGTGTGGGGGGAGATAGAGTGAAATACAATAGATAATCCCAAAAAATTAAAGCTATATTCAAAGCTCAGTGAAAACAAGAGAATGAATTCTGGAGGCACCAGCGGTGCTCCAGCTCCTCATGAGCATTAGCCATTCTGGCAATGGAAAAACCCAGCTATTCCACAAGAACAGTGAATATTGCCAAAAGTACATCTGTAGAGACAGATTCTAACCAGTGTGAAAATGTCCTCTTTCCCCACAAAGTTATGACATTTTACCCCAGCTGCACATTTGCCTTATTGCGTCAAAGGTAATTCACAGATAATTGCAAATTATGAATGTACGGGAGCAATATAAGACCATAGGGAGCTGTAGGTGTTTTATTAGTCTAATAGTTAATCAGCACAGCCCATGATGGAAATTTAGGTGTATAATGGCATCTCATATAGGCATTATTGTAGCATTAAAATACTCCTGCCCATGATTTATCAGTCCATTAGAATATGCTTCAGGTTCTTTCTGAAACCTTAGTGCTGTGATTCTTCACACAATACCCGAGCCATGTCGTAACAGATCTATAAATATCTAACAGTATATATTAATGCTATAACATACATGACTACATTTAAACACTTCTGCATTTTTAAAACTCCTTAAAATGCAAACTCTCCTTTTTAGATATATGCAGCTCCAGTACTACAGGAGAACAGATTTTGGCAGTCAGAGAACCTGTACTAGAGGTACAGCAAATATCTCTTCACAGCACTTGACACTGTGAAAAGCATTTCGATTTCTCATTACCCTCATGATATCTAATTGTTCTTATAGATCACCTTCATTTCCCATTCTTTTCTGCTTCTCAGCTTCATGCTTACCCTCATGGACCACAGGGGGCTGGCTGCCTCTCCATCTTTGTCTGATCTCACCAACATAACTTTGGACCTATTGGCCAAACATAAATACACCTGAAAGAGAAGAAAATAGTTCAAAAGATTACTTAGCTCCTTCTGGTCTATTGAAAGCTGCTGGCTGGGTAGCACAGTGTTTCAGAGTGGGGAGGACAGGCTGAACCCAACCATCACCAGTCATCTTGCCCAGTGGGAACATTAGAGGAGACAGGGAATGGGTGAGAAGACTGGAGAAGACTCGAAAAGACTTATAAAGTTTCATGAGCCCTGCTACTTCTGGAACCATTTACCTTGCCAATACGCATTCTGTGAATTTTCCTTTTAGTTGGTTAATCTTGGGACTGTATGAAAACAAAACCAGGAACCAGTATAGTTCATGACCATCCTGTGCTAAATATTGGTTGAGTTTCTTGGGTGCACTGCTTGATTATATACATTAGCAGTCTGCATAGGTATAAAGAAGCAAGCACAAGCCTCTAAAACCATTTGATAGAAAAGACAGAGACAGATATCATATCTGTCTCTGATCAGATATCAGGGCAGGATGCTTAATACTGGCAGTCAAAATCCAAACAAACCCTAAGCCCCACCTTTTTCCTGAGAAGAACAAGAAGAACTGGTCAAAATTGGTGTTTTGTTTTGTTTTTAAGTGCATATCATAAATGTTGTTTTCTTTGCAAATTACAGTGAAAACAAATGAGTCTTGAATTTTCAACTAGATAGAATTTGTGAGAGAAAGATGGTATTACAAATTAATTTTGGGATATTTCAATCTGTCATGACACAATAAATATTTCAAGTGCAATTTGTTTTACAATTTAACAGTGCATTCATTTATTTGAATGTTATTTCCTGTCAGGTGATTTTCCATAGTTTTAGAGGGTGTTATATTATTTTACACTATCATGATTGATGTGTCATAAAATAATGCAAAAGTAATGAAAGTTCTGTATGGATGAGAAATAAAAAAAATTGGAAATAACACAGTGAGATGAATTTTCGGCATGTTCCTGAAACAGAATTTAAAACAACAACAACAACAAAAATCAAACATTTTCTTTTTCATTTAAAAAAATTTAAGTCACTATAAATTTACACATCCAAAGTTTTGCCAGAACAATTCCATTTTCCTAGTTGAAAAGTGTTGTGATAGAACTTTTCTGACCAGTTCTGCTGTTGAGCTCTCAAGGTGAGTACAGGAACTGTACTCAATTCTTTTTAACAAAAGGTTAGAAGGCATGGAGGCATGCCAATGCTGGTCAGATTTGCTCAGAAAATAGTTGGGCATGGTGAACTCTGTAAATTGAGGGATGGCCTGCAAGCCCTCTATCTGTTAATAGATTGCTTTTTCTTTACTTCCTCACTCATTTTAACAGAGGGTGAAAAAGCTCTTACCTGTGTCTGACACTTTTTTCATTTTTTTTTAAAGGGAGAGGATTTATTTATTTATTATAAGAATCCAGCTAGACGTATAAAAGCAATGTTAACATGTTCAGAGACAAACTTAACTAGTGTAAATTGACATGACTGCACCTAGTAAGCATGCAGTTATGTGCATTCATAGATATTTTGACCTGTGGTCACTGGGAATGTTAGTCAGTTGGATTATCTCATATGCCAGAGTTCAGGTAACAACATAAATAATCTCCAGGAGACTGCTGAGCAATATAGCTGTAATAGGCTTGGGCTAAACCATAGTTCTGAATCTCTCCAGTTTGTGGAAATACAGGTCTGAGATCAGAGCTGGTTTTTTAATATAGAGTTTTCACTCCAATCTGTTGAATAAAATGCTGCATTTCATATAACTCCTTTGTGTAGCTGCTGACAGCACTTGCTTATATGTAGTAACTTGTCTAAATGTTGTAGGTATTTATATCTCTTTGGACATGACCAGCACGCTGGTTCACCAGGCTAACAAAAGAGCCCATTGTGTGACATGCTGAGGGAGGTTCTCATGCTACCCATTTTTAATGCTGTCCTTGAAAATTAACAGTAAGAAAAATTGGAATTAGAAGCCAAACTCACAAAATGTGAGATCAATTAGAAGGGGTGTTTTCCTGATTAACTTTCTGTGAATGGCTGCAGATTTATAATAATACAGCATGTTCCCCAAGCAAGGACAGGGTGTCAGAGCAGTAATGATGAAGTATTTGTTGACTGATGAATTTGAAAATGACCTGGCTTTCCCACCAGCTTGGTTATCTGTTTTGGAATCAAATCCTCAGCTACAATAAGCTGATGTGACCCTTTTGAACAAATTTACCTGGCTGCAGAGGGGACTGCCTGCTGTTAACGAGTAGCTAGAGTCACAGAATTTCTGAATTTCTGCAGTCACAGAAGATGCCTGTTGGAAAGCAGGTGGCTCAGCAGTGCAGTCAGACTCGCATGTCCCAAAGAGGAAAAAACATTCAAAGGGAAATGTTGAATGAAGGACCACTTATTTGCTAAAACTGTATTATTCAAATTCTTATTGATATTCTTCTAAGCTGTAACTGCTGAAATAATTCCTTAGTACGAGAACTGTGATGCAATTACATACAGATAACCATATTAGTAATTCCTTGACTTACAAATGTGAAAGAGGTATGAAAGTGGAAAGCTATCTGATTCACCTGCATTCACAAAAGGCAGTTTCAAATTCCCATAATATCTTCCACTTAGAGCTCTTCCTTCAGTCATAGCCTAAGTTTCCAATGCAGTATTTTAAATCTTAAAAAGAAATGTGATGCTTTGTGCATTGCTGCATAGAGGAAGGACAGAAATGGAAAAGATGACCCAGAAGATCCCTTCATTCCTGAACTCCTAAAAAAATAATAGTTGCCCTGAGTGGAAAAGTTAAAATATTTTTGCTATGAAGATAAAGGAAAAACAGGATATGAGGTTATAAACTCAACCCTTTCTGAATGAAAATTGTAATGAATGCAATCCATATCTGTAAAATCTGCTTTTTTTTTTTTTCTTGGTGAAGAAAAAGTACTCTTGAACCCTAATTACAATGACAACATGTTAGGAAGCTATATATGAAATCTGGTGTTATACTTACAAGTTAAGAAGTTGGAGGCAAAACTGGCTTGACCATCAAACGTAGAAGATAGATGCCAACTAAGAGGTGCTTTTACAATGAAATTCATCTTGTTTTAAATAAACCAAGGGTGGGCTTTCACTCTGTTTTCCCTTTGCATATTTGAAAAGTGCTGAATTAGAGGAAAAGGAAGGTTATAGCACTTTCATAAATAATTTAAAAGGATAAAAGAAGAATAGGACTAATAATTACAGTGAAATGTTTCAGGGTGTTTTATTCAGATAGCACAATGGGTAATAAGAGCAGATGCTGTTCCAGTCCATGCAGTTCTTCAGTTTGTATTGATGTACAATGTAAAGAACAAAAGATAATTAATGGTCTACGAAGAGGACACTCTTAGCAGTGAGCTGATGTCTCAGCATCCATCTTCACGTTGATCAATATTAGAATCTATAGCTTCGCCCATTGTTTTACGAGGTCCTTAAGAAAAAGGACACAGAATTATCAAGATCATAAAAAAATGTATTTCATTCTTTTGTGGCTCTAGCCTCATTATTCTGCCCAGGAAAAGACACTGCGATTCCTCTGTGTCACAGCCCATTCTGAAGAAGGAAGGTACTCGTGTTATTTTTCTACTTGTGGTCCGTGCAGCTTGCCTCAAGTGAAGAGAACAGCCCTTGTCCATGCCAGCTGGCCGATAACACAGATGTCCTCCTGCCCTCTTGGCTGAACGACTGCTCCAGGCCTGCCCCGGGCACACGCAGCCGGCACAGCGCGGTGCCACCCGGAGCCACCAGGCCATGACAGCCCAACCAGCCAGCCAGAGCTGGCACCATTAAAGCCAGATGTCGCCTCTGGCAGCTTGGATGTACCCACACGCAGCAGTGCTCTTGCTAATGAGCTCTACATTGCTCACGGATGTAGTAAGGGAGCGCCAGCCCTCTCAGCTGTAGTTGTTCCAGCACCAGCTCTGCATGTGGTGTCTGGTGCGCACACCGTGCCCTGTGGGTAGGCTCGCTGCAGCAGGCCACTGCAAGCACAGATCCTCTCAGGCATAGGCATCTTTTAAACACCCAAGGCTTTTAACTTTCCTGTGGGTTATGAGATGATCAGCTCGCTAGAGCACTGGTTAGCCCTGACTAACCCAATATAGCTGATCATCTGTGGAAGGCAGGCCCCATGGTAATGCAGCTCACTCTATTTAGAGAGCCAGATGACCCTTTCTCACACCGGAGAAGACCAGTCCCTTCCCTGAGCTGTTAATGCCAGCTCTGAAAACCTCCAAACCTAGGACATCTGACACAGTTTCATCTGCAGCCTTGTAAAATCTGTAGGTGTTCCTAGCTAAGAGCACTTGAATCCATATCTGACAGATTTAGGGCTCCAGACTTTACGGGTGTGAAATTATGAGGTGTAAGAAAGCAATTTCAGGTATTTTTAGAGGTTTTGAAAACAGACAAATAAAACCACCACCACCACCAAACCTTCCTTTCCTATTCAAGTCCACAACAGTTGTACATATCACAAAAAAAAAGGCACATGCAGACTACGTGAAGATGTGCTTTTCTACTGGAAGTTGCGTGGCATGACTGCAAATACGGACTTCCATAGTGCTCAGTAAATTCCTCCATAACTTTGGAAAAGAAAGCACTCTCATCTAAACTCAAAAAAAAAGAGCTAGCAAAAATCTGAACATTGCATACCACTTTAGCACAGGTATTAACATAGAGCTTTAGATCACTGAAATTTGTAACATGCTATCTGCCATATTGTCGATGGAAAAATGTTGGCTTGCTCCTAAGCATTAATGGCATGCATATTGGATATTTGCATTGGGTGTCAAATTATATAAGTGCAAAACTTCCTATTTGGTATTGATTTCTAGCTTTTTTAGCCAGTGGCTAGATTTGAGGCTGCAGTGCCTAAAATCTCTGGGGAAGGCAGCTTTCTGCCATCTGCTGTCTGGCTGCAGCCATGAAGTCTCTTGTTAGAGCCAAATTGGATCCCCATGGTTAAGATACAGTTCAATTTATATTCCCCAGAAAAGAAAAAAATCCCTTATAGTTCCAGAAGGTGGTGACATTTGCTTCAGTGGTGAAAATCAAGTGCCTAAAGGGGGCCTACAGGAAAACTGGGAGGGATTCTGTACCAGGGAGCGTAGCGATGACAAGGGGTAATGGCTTTAAACTGAAAAAGGGTAGATTTAGGTTAGGTATAAGGAAAAATGTCTTTACCACGAGGGTGCTGAGGTACCAGCACAGGCTTCGCAGAGAATCTGTGGCTGCCCTATCCCTGGATGTGTTCAAGGCCAGGCTGGATGGGGCTTTGGGCAACCTGGTTTGAGGGGAGGTGTCCCTGCCCGTGGCAGGGCAGTGGAACTGGAGGAGCTTTAAGGTCCCTCCCAACCCAAACCATTCTGTGATTCTATGATCCTCAGACACTTTGAACAAAGTGTGTTAAGAAACTGATAAGCACGACAAAATGCAGCCTAAAAGACCTCTAGACTGCCACCGAACACTGCGACACCTGAAGTGCTTCAGTGCACAGGAATGACAGCGTGTGGAACCAGACCGATTTCAAGCAGAAATAACAGAACCTGACACCTCTGCTAGTGGCCCCTGAAAAAAAAAACAGCTAAGAGCCAGGTCCTAACATGCTTGAACCTAACCTTAAAGCTAATCCTTGAAGTTGTCCCATTGGTTTGATCTTGTGGGCAGCCACTGTATCAGCAGGGCCAGCAGCTTTGCCTCTTGCCCTTGGTATTTTACTCTTCTATTGAATAAGCAAAGGTGACCCAGGTAATACATAAATCAAATGTGAACAACCCTTAATACTAACGTATCAACATGTGAGGGAGGAATTTATTAATTTTCTTTGTTATTGCCTAAAGAACTTGCAGACAAATTGAATCATGTCTTCATTAGAGGAGAGCAAAAGCAACCTCAGTTTGAGAAGGCAGAGCAATTAATCTGCTTGCATTTTGTTTTCTCTTTCAGGTACCTCCATCATCCACTCTTCTTGATGTGAAACACAAATTTCACAAAGCATGTAAGTACTTCGGCTAGCAGGCTGGAGGCATGGTTAGAAGCCTTTCAGCATGGAGAAGTAGTCAAATTTATTTTTCATGAAATCTCACACAAAAGCTGAGGCTGGCTTGACAGCTCCAGTGCTAAATTAGAGCAGTATTCGGAGTAAGGTTCTCCTGTAGCTATCGCAGACATGAGAGGCTGGAAGGAGAGGACTGCATAATTCATCACTGCTCGCCCATAAGGGGCGATACTTTTTTATCCTGTTTTTAACATTACAGTGTCAATTCAAGACCTCAGCTGCATTCACTCTCCCAATGTTATATTAGATAAGCTTCGATAACATTAGATTGCTTCAAGCTGGCTATAAATAGACCATGTGGACCAAATAGTTACTGTAGCGGGGAGCTCAAGCACAGAGTGATTAAATGATTTATCTGAGATCGTGGAAGCAATCTGGCAGAGTTCTCAACTGACTCAGCATTGTCCAGTTCCTTAATGGTCAGGGCAACCTCCCTTTCTTATTGCTTCTTTTGTTTTTCACACCCATGAGGACAAGAAAATAGTACAGGGGAGGGTAATGTTTGGCACATATGCACAGCAGATGTGGACCTTGTACATGAGAAGAGACAAGAGCAATACTACTTGAAGATCCCTCTTTCCTTGCTGTCAGAGAACAGATTTGGTGGATACTTCTTTTCTGTCCCTGCCTAGTCACATATATCCTGCCCTCACTAGGGGTGTTGGATGAAAAGGAGAGAGAAAGAACAAGACAAGCAGCTGTGTGCCAAGGTTTGATGGCATTTTCATTTATCCTTTATGAATTGCTGTGTCAGTATTTTGAGGAGTGGGGCTAAATGTACCTGAAAGCTAGCAGATGTTGTATATGTGTATATGGCGTGCCTTGAGTTCTGAAATGCTGTAACCGATGTTTGTAGAGAGCCCAGTTTTGTGACCTTACTCCTAGACCAGGAAATGTGTCTTCTGCTTCTGCCCATGGGATGTAAGGTGCTACTTGTGATCAGGACTCGTACCTTGAGTGTCACTCACATGGGATATGCAGGTCTACGCAAGGCCTCTTACACTGAACTGGGGTATTTAGTTGAGTAGAAAAAGATGCAACAAGAACCGAGGGTTCGAAATGAGGACCAGACAAACTCAAATTAGGAATGAGGCATTTGATGCCAAGATGCAGGATGGTTTACTGCTGGAGTAAGAGTTCTAGACAATGGACTTTCCATTATTTTTACCAAAAAAAGAAAAAAAAAAGGAGGGATATGCTACTAAAGACTAGATGCCTTTTGCAAAGAAATGCTTTAGTCAGATGCTAATATCAAGTTTGGAGTAGGATATGTGGAAGAAGCATTATATTTCTCTGTCCTTCGAATTTTATAAAACATTGAAGCTTAAGGCCTCTGATTGCACAAAGGTTCAGTTAATGAAGCAAAATGTTGACATGGCTGCTCCAAAAACACTTCTTTTCAACCCCTGTAAGAGCTTGCAATATGCAAAAGGCTAAAAGTCTAAAAACTCAGCACTTGCATATGTGAAGACTGAGTGCATAAGATTTAATATTTCAATAAGGATGTGTCCTCCCACCACTTTGTGAAATGCAGTGCTTTTCTGCTTAGACTCTCTTAAATCATTTGAGACTGGATTTATATTGATGCAGCTTAAATCAGCTGAAGATCACTGGCACAGAGGCTTATGTCAATATAATTGTAATAAGGTTTTTAATTAATTTGGGATAAAATAGTGAAAGTTTGTGTATAAGCTATTTTATTGGCACCTGTTTTCATATTTAGAGGTACCTCACTCCTCAAATACATCCAGGGATGTAAGTTAAGCTGTGTATGGAGGAAGACAATAAGTAGTACAACAAAGCATGACACACACCATGAACTGAACCTCTGACAGTGTGGCCCTTTACAACACGTGGAAAGGCTGGCATGTGCCTTCAAAGTTTTCCTGGTCCCCAGTTTCTTAGTTCTCAGGAGCACACTGTGTCAATGTCCTGTGTCATTTCTTCCCATTCCAGCTCATTGCTTTGATCTCTCCTTTCCAGCTCAGCCTGGATGTTGCTGTCTCATGAGGTTCCCCCTTCCTCCTTTTCCTCTGGCAAAGAACAAACCTTCCCTTTTTTCCTCTTTGTGTAGTTTGGAGGATGACAGCTTACAGAATTTATATTACAGTTCTTTTAGGCAAGAGCCGAGAAGTGGCTGAAGCTGATCTGTGGATGCCTTTGGTTACTGTGCTATTTGTGCTAGTTCATGCATTCATTTCTGTCATTTCATGTGTGCCAGACTCGCATGTCTCCTATAATCTCTTGCTAAAACACTCCTACGCACACGCCCTTACAGTCTCCCTGTCCTCGTGCATTCTCCTTTGATCACCCATGCAATTAAGCTTTCTCCTCAGCTGGTATCTTGTCAGCCCTTCAGTGAGTGAGAGGAACCCCTGTGCAGCAATTTCACAAGCATCATCTCTGTCACTGATCAGTTTTTGCTGCCTGATTCAAGAAAAGAGGAAAAAAGACTGAATTATGAATTGCAGCAGGAGACTGCTAATCATTAAAATAAAAGAAATGGGATGCAAGTGGCACATAGCATGTTACCGTTCAGTAGTTTCTAAGTCAGTCAAACATTAGTTTGGATCTGTGTTTATATGAAAGAATACGGACTCAGAAATCCAGGAACAAATACTGAAATATTCTACGGCTCTCACTTCAGCAAAAGCCTCCTTGTGGAAACAACCCCAACACCGTGTTTTCTGCAGCACTGAGTTCAGTGGGGCGATCGCTGGGGATTTGGGGATCTATGAGCTTTTAGCGGAGGTACCACCTACAATAACCTGCCATTTCATGGGAAACGAGAGGCTTTCTCCAGACAGAAGAGCACAGTTTTGGATCAGCCCCTAGCTGCTGTAGCCACCGTCTGTGGCAGGGACTGCAGTTAGCCTGTCACAGAGCTCCAGCCCTGGCTCTGCAGGGGCTTTCTGTAACAGATGCTAGATCCAGGCTGCCATGCTTAATAGGAAACATCACACCTGCCCACCATGAACCCGTCTAATCCTTTCTAAACCTACTTACAGTTCTGACCTTAGCAAAATCCTCTGGGAAGGAGTTCCGCGATACGTGCTTCGTGGACAAAACCACACTGTTCACGGTGGCATCCTCCACATGCCTACACTTTTGTTGCTTGTTTTCTGCCTGAAATTGGGTGGCAGCTGAGTGCCTGGGTGTTACTGACCTTCACGCTGTACCATCTGAGGCATGGCCACAGAAGCCTTAATCAAATTGGTGCTGTGCACCAGGTGACTTTACTGCTGTTTTCCTCATTCCTTTGGCTGGCTGGCAGAGGTAAAACCACACGAGTAACTTAATCTACCAGAAGGAATCCTCTTGCCCCATTTTTTCAGTTGCTTATAATGAGTCAGGTACCTGGCATTTCCCATATCTATAAGGATGATGTTTTCAATGGGGAAAGAAATACCTTGTAGACTAAACTTTGCAAGCTCTTGTCCTTGGCAATAACTCTTCACCTTTAATTTATTTTTATCTTTGCAAGATGTATTGGGCTGGTGGAGGAGGAAATCTTACAGATAGAAAATGAAAAACTGTAATAATAATGCTAATCCAAGTATCACATAACTAAAATAAAATACGTCTAGAACAGGTAGTATAGTGGAGTCGGTGATCATTAAATATTTTCAAGGTTACTGCACACAAAAGTTTCTGGAAAAGCTCTTGAAAATGGAAGAAGAACAGAAAGGAAATAAGAGTTCAGCAATAACCTAACAAACTCTTGGATACAGCATCTTGCACGAGGAAGTAGCACAATTGTACCTACTCTCTGAAGTCAGAAGAACAAGTTTAGGGAAGCCAAAAACTGCCCCTGAGGCAGGACCAGCAGGCAGATAAAGAAGGGCAGATGGGAGAAAGCCTGGCAATGGATGGAAGGAAAAAGGGAAGCTGAATGGAATGAAAATAACACATGCAGAGCATCCCAGCCTGCAGAGGGGAATGAAGTACTCAAGGAAAAAGGAACATAGCTTCCAGCTTTCCCAATGAGATATTAACTCGTGATCATTCAGCTCCAAAACTGCAGGCCTCCCTCTCCAAGTTAGCAAACGTTACATAGGGTATATAGAATAACCAATGTTAATCAAAGTAAATCATTAAGAAAGAAATTGTCAGTAGGTGGCACTCAAGAATAAACATCATAATTTCTGGACACTGTGAAACTTCAGTGGTCTGTGGTACAGTCTTAAAACTGCTTGTTGCAGGTATTTCTATAGAGATCTTGAAAGCTATGTCAATGGAAATGACTGAAAATGACAAATATTTTTGCTTTGCTTTCCTCTAGAGAGAGGGCAAGGAGCAAAACAGTGCAATTCCTACCTCATGCTGATTGCCCTTTATAGCCCAATGCAAGGAGACACCTTACCATCCCAGAGGACAAACGTAAGCAGAAGGACCATAGCACACACACTTTTTCCAGTGGTATGGGAGGCTTGTGCATCGTCTCCCTCCTTCCCTTCTCAAAACGACCCGTGGCTGCTGCCAGCTCTGCTCCCCCTGCAGTTGCCTGCCAGTAGTGCTGAGCTCTGCCAGCGCTGGGCAGCTGGAAGGAGAGCAGCATTTCAGAAACATCGGTTCCTTGCTTGCCCAAAGCCCTGAAGCAGATCGTCAAAACAGAGCTGTGGAAGCCAAGCTGGCCCGGTGGAGAGGAAGGAGGAGAATTTCTCATTGCTTAGAAATGACAGAGCCAGTCTTGTGAGAGTAGCTTAAGGCATGTGAGGTACTAAAACTAATCCTTCACTGGAGGAGCGGGTCCTCTTTCTTTTCTCCTTCCTAACAAGTCTGAAAAGGGCTTTCAAGTTCTGCATCTGCACCTTTCCTGTTTTTAACAACATCTGAGAACTAAGCACGATTGCAAGAGCAAGGGCTTAAGGTAAAACTCCACGTTCGCCAGCCTAGGTGCTAAAATGCAAGAGCTGGATGCAGCACTGTCGCTGGAAAGGATGACTTTTCCTACTGCATCATATAATTTCCATCTAGAGGCTGGCCGTGATATTAAACTGCAAGGCTCAGAGAGGTGAGAAAGGATGCTGTGGGGATTAGTCATTAAGAGCAGTACCAGTGAGAGCGGTGACTGCTAAGCCAGTGCCTTGCCTACCGGCTCTATGTAATCAGGAGTGTCTGATAACACGGGCTTGCTGAGAACCTGCAGCTCCTCTGATTTTTCCACGCTGCCTGTTACAGCTGGATTCTCAGGTTGAAGAAAGTTAATGAAATCTGTCAATTCTGATGCCTGGAGAGACTCATGTGCCCAATGAATACACCTGCTGGGGACACAGAGAAGCTGAATTATGCTATTTATGGCTCTCCCAAGCTGACTTCATAGTCCTTGCCTGCCAATCAACCAGGAGCCCTTCATGTGTCTCACAAACTGAAGAGACCCAAATAAGTTATACCTAGGGCACACAGCCTTCCAGAGGGATCTTTCCTCTGCCCCCTATTTGGAGCCCAGGCTTTCAAAAAGCCAGCCTTTTGGAAACAGAGCCACAATCTGATCCTGGCATGAGTTGTCTTGAGCTGAATGCACTCCCCAGGCAGAAAGGCAGCTGCAAAGTACAGTTTTTACCAAATCTCCAAGTCCTTCCTCCCTGTTTTTATCCTAGGCAGTTCATGCTACCCCGGAGTCACAGCTCATATACGAATGAGTTTTCAAAGGGAGAAGTAATATCTTCCTGTGCAAAACTCCTGGGCCCAGCATTACGCCTGCGTCACACATTCACAGGACACATTGGGTTAACAGTCACATCCAATGATTGTTTTCAGTAATTTTTTTCCCTTCTCTGCACTCATAACTCAACTGGAAATTAACAATGAAGGTGAGTCGCTAGGGACAGGCAGTTACTGCAAATGGGCACTATGAAGTACAGTGATTTCATCTGGGTAAATTGCTCATTCATCTGTGTTGACTTTCTAAATGAGAATGACTAGATTAGGAGGAAACATGATGAGATTTATTTCATTTTATAATTTACTTTTCCTTTGTCTTAGCCAGACAGCAGATAGTAATAGAAGACTAGGTTACAGTGAATGTAAGTATCCGTCAAATGACACAGGTCTAAGGTCTTTTTTTTTCTTCTCTATGCCTGTTGACATAACTCTACCAGGAACTCGAATTTCTTGTTACTGCCATAGCGAGGCTCATATATATTTAAACTCTTTACTTTCTGTTTTTCAATGCTAAGCAAAGTAAGCAATGAACATCAAATGATCACCAAAACAAATGATCACTACCATATTCCTCCCCAGCTCACAATCAGATCTAATCCATGAATAAATTGCTTCCTGGCCCTCCTGAGTGTGCATGTCCTCCATTGACCCGATTTCTTGCCTTAGTGTGCTGATTTAGCCAGGAGGCCAGTCTGCCTGGTAGGCTTCATTTCTGATCTAGGCAGCAGGAAGTTTCAGGAGGGTGACCTTCTATCAACTTCTTTGCGGCACATCCATGCAAATCTCTCTATTCAAAATAGAAGAGTCTGGCTGTTGGCACAGATTTGTGTAGCTTGAATTTATGGCTTACCTGTCAAAATAATTGAAGCATACCTTTAAGAGCTGGGAATACTTTCACTTTTATAATGGCCAGCCAGGAAATGAGGGTGGCATCACTGACCTAACATGGTTAGAAGAAAGCAGAAGCCACACTGAGTTAGCCTTGTGATTTTCAAAGTGACTGAAAATTTAGAGCTTATACCCCACGCTCAGTCTTCATGCATTCTGTGTTGGAATTACAGAAAACCAATTCTGGCCTTTTTTCCAAAGGGAAAGGCAAGGCAGGGAGTGTTGCAGCTGCAGTCACAGTGCAGGCTCCCGGGTAGCCCTCCAGAAAGTGGTGTGTGCTTCACTGACAATCCTTTTTGCAACCCTTTTTGCAATCCTAACCTTCCATTTGAGCCCTGACCCATGTGTGTCTTGCTGACACTGCTGAAGCCCAGAACTTGCATTAGGACATTTGTGGCTGGGGTGCTAAGTCTGGCTTCTTGCTTCCAGCTGTCTGACTAATAAGGAGAGCAAACACCAGGCTAGGCACCCGCATTCCACTTTTGCTGAATGCTCGAATCTCATAAGTTGTGGAGGAAGAGATATTAAATCAGTCTGAGAAGTGTCTGATCGTGTGTCCCTGGAGATTTGCTTTCTGAAATGTACATGTGGTTATAAAAAATGATTTCAGTGTGTACTGCATTAGGAAACTATGGCTGAGTTTTGGCTTACCCACCTAGTGTAAAAGCAATGCACTTAGCCCTGTATGACCTTAAGTAGGACTTCTAGGGTCAGTTGTTTAAGGCATTTTGGTCTTTGAGGATAACAGCAAAAGCTAAAGGGCTGGCTGAGATTTTTAAAGTTGCCTAATTCACACTGAACTAAACGTAATATTTGGGACATAGTTCTTCAAGGCTTAATTCAAAACTAGTGGGAAGCATGCTATTGACTTGGGTGAGTTTTATGCCAGATGCTTTCTCCTTTTTGAGCTTAATTTTTTCATCCATAAAATAAGAACAATTAACCTGCCTTTCATCCATCTTGCACTCTTTTGTCTGTTTTGGCTGTGATCCCTAAGAAACATTTGGGACAATGAATGACTTAAATATATGCCTAATGACCTATTGAACCGAAGGCAGTGAGGTGTCTAAAACACAAAAGCTAGGCTATCTATTAAATGCTTGTGAAAGTAAGCTGGCCTTCAGAAAAAAAAAAAAAAAAAAAAAAAAAAAAAAAAAAAAAAAGTGATATTCAAACCAGAAATAGAAAAAGTGAAGATCAACTCAAAAACTTTAATGGAAATTCACATTATTTCTCTTTTTGGCAGATGCTGCATCTGATGTTATTGCATTTCATTAGCAGGATTACAGATACCATTTCAGATGAGTAATATAATAAAAGAAAAGGCAATGAATCTATAGAGATGTAGCTTGAAGCAGAACTGGTCCTCTCTGCTCTCTGGGATATTGTTCCCAGCTGAGATTTACAGGACTCTAACAATGCATCACAAATGACATCCTATGTAAACAATTGGAGAACAAATGTGAGATGCTATTTAAATGCCTCATTAAGAAAAGGAAATTTCATAGCTAGATTCTTTGCTTTTCTTTCCTTTGCATTAGATTTAATTGACAGATCTAGATGAGAAACAACAAAATTTGTTTATCAGAATTGCCTGTTATTACTTACAATGTATCTTATTACAGTGCCTATAGCTCAACTGAGAAAAGGGCAGTATGAGGCAGTATAGAAGTAATCCAGGCCCTAGAGAACATGCATTCTCTGATAAAATGAAGAATAAAAGCCTACTGAACTGTTGATAGAAGATGCCGAAGTAGTTTTTGATCTTAAAGAGTTCCTACATCAATTTAAATTCAGGTATTACATTTTTGTCTGAATGACTTCCAACCGTAACCTGGTGTTCACCACCACGTTCACGTGGGCTTACTGTTCATTCAGCAGGTCTTCATGACTGTGAAAAGAATCTCATGTCCATTAATGAGAGATGCCTGTTGATTACAGTAGGGTATAGATCACTTCAGGCCTTCAAATATGCCCTGCATCTGCATCAAGGTTTTCACAGAGGTCCCCACGCCTTTGGACACCAGCGTTGGGCAGATGGCTTTGCAAAAAGATCCAGTAGTTTCTTTTGGGAGGAGCTGCGTGGAATGGGTCTGCACGAAATGTGCCAGAGACTTCTTGTGAAAGAGAGCCAACAGGCCTTGGGATGGCAGAAAAGGAAGCAAATCTCCCATGATAGAATGACAGGAACCTAGCTCCTTCTTGGACAGCTTTAGGAGGGTAATGAATAAAAACCAACAAGGTCCATGGTATCTCATCTGCTCAAGAGGTCACAGCAGAGGCAGCAGCTCCTGCTGTTAGGTTCAGATTTTCCCCGGGTTTGCCTTGTGACAGTGACTTGTTTTCCATTCATTTACTCTTTCTCTTTTGATCCCAGCTTGCCTATTTATTTATTTTCCTCTTTGGGCATAGGGGGAAAGAAAGTCTAAGAACAATCAAAATAAGAAATCTTTCAAATAAAACTTGATATTTACCATTATTTCAAGTTAATGAAAGCAATGCATCAAAGACAAGAAGCTGAACAAATGATTTACAATAAAAATAATGCGATAGAGAAGAGTTCTGCCTCTTTCTAAATTGTCCCCACATTACAATGATCCTGAATATATTTGCTGCTGGAAATAATTCACCATTGAAATAATCGACATGTGAAGTATTCTGGGTCTGTAGCTCATTCATGAGCTGTGCTCATATAAAATGTGGACAGGCCTTGCTCACTGCTTGACTCACATTGTTACTAGTGTAAGTTAAGTGCCTAATTCTAAATGCTCTTTGCACACCTACCTCTGTATCCCGATCTTTAGTTCTTTCTTTTGTTTATCCCAGCATTTAGTTCTTTCCAGCATGCGAGGGAAAAGTATTTGTCCTCTGTCATAGAGCTGAGGGAGGAAGAGCAGTTTCACAAGCTTCATGGCAGTGCTTCAGAGGCACAGAAGCCTCTGCTTAACTTAATTCAGGTGCTGGGATGGGAGAATTAAACCAGCCCAAATCAACTTCTCTCAGGAAGGATGCAGGAGCATGACAGGGCCTGTAACTCGCCTGCTGGTGTCTGATCTGCTGCCTCTTCCTCATGGCTCATGGAGAAACTACAATTTAGCCTTCTTATTAGCGAGGATTAACTTTCAGTGTGGTGAATTTACCAATGAATTTATGAGGATTTAATTTGCACAAAGGAAGAAATCATGTCAGTTCAAATGCGCTCATTTAATTGGTGATAGCACTGGTGCGGTCATTAGATAAAAACATAAAGCACTGCGATTAGGGGTTAGTGAGGGAATGCATCCTGATTAGATTAGAAACTGGAGAAAGAGCTATCCCCTGGACAGTCAGATATTGAAATTATACTTAATTAGCATATTTTATTAGCTCATTGACTAAGGAATGTTTTTAAAGAAACACAGCTAGGGCCTAGGGTAGGACTCTCCTCTGCCCAGTACATGTGGGGTGGAGGGACAAATGAGCTTTTGAGCCATCTTTGCCCTGTCAGCTGTGCTCGTTGAAGCACCAGGTGCTTTCTGATGCTGCAACATAACTCAGCACAGCCCCAGGGCTGCTCCATGGCCCCCACGCTGTGTTCAGGCAGCGGGCACATAGCATAGGTTAAAGCAGCAGTCCCTCTGAGGCCTGGGGGAGCTCAGCAGGCATGCAGGGTGCTCAGCAGCTCATACAGGTGCTCAGCACCCCCAAGAGAGTGAGAAGAAGAGGGAGAGGCTGAGGGATGCTGCAGCTCCCTCGTCTTCAATGAATTTGAGCTTTCCACCTGAGAGAGGCAAATGGCAGGGAAGGCCTCGGTGCCACTGCCCCGTCCATTCTCTGCCCTGTGTATTGCTCTGTGGAGAACTGCTGCCCAAAAGTGCCCGACAGGCTTGCTAATTGTGGCAGTACCCAAAATAGAGCTTTCTGAAGTGAGGAGGCAATGACCTGTGCTATCAGTGCCCTGAAACACGGCCTATCACATAATATGGTCATCATAAGGCACAGCGCGGGTTGGTTCTCTCACAAACTGGCACAGGCTGAACATGAGCAAAGGTTTGGAAAGAAAAGTCATTCTGAAACAGGCTTTTATATCTTTTATATTGCTCTTGTTTTCTGAGACTGCAAGGATGTTCAGATACCTGTGTTAAATGCCCTGCTTTACTGCCTATGAAACCCTTAGGTGGGTTGGCTAATGCCACACCTGAAAAGGTTTTTGAGCAGTTAAGGACACAGACAGATGACAAGCAATTTCATAAACCACCAAACATTAAGCTGCCTTTTTGAAAATCCCCCACTATTATATGAACAGGCAGATGGAGAAGGAAGGATATCTTGTAGTTCCTGAAACACATACATCATTTGCCAAATGCATGTTCGTTAATGTGCAGTGTCTCATGTTTGGGTCACCCTTTGAATGAAGGCTTCTCTGACAGCTTGTAACGAGGAAGAAAATCCTGCTCGAGTTCTCACATCCCCCTGATACCTCAGCAATTATCTTTGTTATCCAATTCAAACTTGTACAGAGAGAAGAATCAAAGGCAAAGATAACTGCCAGAATTAAAACACTCAATCGGCATAAATTACTAAGTCACTCTTTTCATTGGCATTGACATTTCAGAGCCAGGACCCAGACGTCTGCAAATAACACCAAGCAAGCTCTGTGCTATTTTAGTGCATGGATCACAGGGCGCAGTTCTCCCTGGGGGTCCCCTGCTCAAAAAACTCCCCAAACCCATTACGCAGAGCAGAGTGCAGTGGGTCCAGCTTCACCGACTGATCCCCACCGCTGCCACAGGAGCTGCAGCACGATGCCCAGGTGATGGGAGCTGCTCAGGGCCAGGCAGTGTGTGCTGTGCTGCTGCAGGTGGGTGCTCTCAGCCTGAATGCTGCTGCAGTGCCGCAGCACTGTGCATCCAGCAGCTCCTCACCTCCCCGCTCTGATTTAAGGGCATTCATTCCCTTCTGGGAACATTGCTTCGAGCTCCATCATTGTCAGAATATCTGTTTGCTTGTTTCTCTGTATTCTGCTCTGTGGTTGTTATTAATGAAATAAAAGGTGAGCCTCATTCCCTTCCCTTGCCCACACACATTAATTTAAATGCAAATCCACACAGAAAGATCAAAATTAATTATACTTTCTGCAGCAGGCTACATGGGAAATTGAAATGCACAGGGATGGCTTTCCTTTTCCCTTTTTATTTTTATTTTTTTTAAGAAACAATGTAGCTAAACTATTCAAATATATATATAAATGATGCTTACATGCTTGCCTGCTTTTAGTTTCTGATGCTTTTTGCTTGTCTAAATTTCCAGTTGTTTTCAGCACCAAGCTGTTTGAGATGGAAAATTGAAAGCTTAATCTGCTAGTGCCAGAAATCGACCTCTAAATGACAAATAATATTCTGTTTGCCACTAATAACAATTGATCTTCATTAAGACAAGCTTTGCTGACTCTTAAGAAATTTGTCCATTATTGCCTGATCAGAATATAGCTAAAGTTTAATTATTTTTATTTTTTTTAGGAAAAAAACTCGCTGAGTGAGTGGCAGCGGGGGGGAGCGCTGTGTTCCTCGGTGGATTCAGGCATTTGTAAAAGTTAGAAGTCGATGAAAATGTAGTCAGGTGAATTTGTGCTCCAGGGTGCAGTGCAGAGCCACGCAGGCTGGTGTTGCACAGCTGGACACAGCCACAGCTGCTTCCAGCTGGATGGAGCTAACCAGATTTGTCAAATCCTGGGTGAGAAAAGTATAATTTTGACACTGTTTTTTAGGGAGTGCCCGCAGGGATTGATGTAATGGAGTACATTAGTTGTTAGAGCTGGTAGGTGTGCTCTGAAACACCTCCGGGATCAGGCCTTGTGAGGTTTTGTGAGGTGGGTGCTGGGGTAACAGCAAACAGCTCTGAGCACAAGCAAACACTGCAGACACATGACTTCATGTAGGAAAAATGGATGCTCATGGATTTTAAGGATCTAAAACCAAGGGGAATGGTCAAACGGACAGCGAAAAAGGAAGCACATTACCAGACACATTGTCAGGCTGGGACTTACTTGCTTTGTAGGCTTTGGGAAGTGTGTTTGTTGTGCCTCTTGGCCAGATCTATCCATAACTACTCTGTAGCACTGTTGGTTTAGCTAAGTACTGGAGGCATCAGTTCGCCCTCCCCACAGCTTGCTCTCCATGTGCAAGCAGGATGTTTGTAGCTAGATGCATTCATGTATTACAAAAACAGAAGAAAGAAATGGATGCTAATAATCAAATGGATTCTCTTTCAAATTTCAAGTAATTAAGAAAGTGGGTATTTGTGTAGGCATAGCAAGTAGAGATCAAGATGCCTTTGGAAAACACAATGGCTAAATATTATCCTCAGAAAGCTTATAGGTAACTCAGGTAAGGGGAAAGAGAAGCTGAGAAAGAAAAGGGATTTATTTTTTAGCCGTTAAAACCAACATCCCTTTCTTTCAGTGCCCTGCTGAGATTTTACCCAACAGGGCACGCTGGGTCTGCTCTTTCTACTGGCTTCCCATAAAAACATTGATCTAATTCAAGATCTTGCTCCCTCCCAAAATGCTCTGATACAGCATATCAAAGGTCCTGCTGAAAAACACAGGCTAGCCAAAAGATCCCAGATGCAGCAGGTACCTTCCCAAGGACCTAGCAAGAGGTGGAAGCAGGATTTTGTTGTTCAGCTTCCCCCCATAAGCTCAGTATGGTGCCAGGCAAGGACAGCTGTGCTGTACCTATCATTTGTTACAGGGAAAGTAAACACAGTAATAACTTCAGGTACTTTCTGTCTGGGTCTTGTGGCCCAGCTTAGTTTTACTGTGGTTTCTTAGGTGTGCCTTACTTACTGCCTTCATGCTCAGGAACCACTCAAGTGCACAATAAATCCCACAGAAGCAGAAAGCTACGGTTCCAAGTCAGTGCAGCATCCTGCTTGCCCGTCAGCTCTGTGAAGCAAGGGTGTACAAACTTCAGTCCAGCAAAGGCTGTGGCTATCCGCACGCTGATATCTCTGTCTTTACCTGCCTCCTCAGAAACATTCCTGGGAGTGCTCAAACACGCCTGCTGCAGCCAAGAGAGACGATGTTTATGACCATTGCTGCTTGAGGTCATGGACTCGGAATAACTGTATTTGTTCAGCATTTACTTGTCAAGGAAAGAGCCCAGCAAGTTACTTTCCAGATAATCTGTGTGTCAGTATGTCTGTCTGTCTCTATGTATTATGTACAAAAACACCAACCCCCCAGCAATGCATGAGTCTTTTTTAGCAACCTTTTATTACTGCAACACAGATACCAGATCAACATTCTGGTTAAGGTGGCAGAGTGCATTTCAGCTGTGCTCACGTCGTACAGGAAGGTGCTGTTACCTTGCTCAGCTACTGCATGACCCTTTGCGATCATGTGAGGGCCATCGGTACCGCAACGTTCCCCAGAATTTCCCATACTTCTGCAAATTTAAGCAGCATGCTGCTGCTGATTGATTATAGTAATTTTGTTGTTCATATCATCCTATTCATATCACAGCAGGTATTGCTGGTAATTATTAAGCCTATTTGTTATTAGAGATGCATGGGTGGTGAAAAACAATGAGAAGCAAACAATTTAACTGATAAAATTAGCTGTTCATGGAAAGTCAATCTGATAATTATCTCCAAACTATGTCTGTCAGCTCTGCTTGGCATTTCTTAGACTCCTTACCCCCCAGAGGAACAGCTTTTGCATGGCTGAGTTCTAAGGAATGCACCTAATTTCCCAGCAGGAGAGATCTTCATGATTTTTTTTATTTATTTTTTTAACCTTTGCTCTCATATAGGTTCATGTAACTTCATAAATACTACGTGACAAATAGGCATTTGATCGTGTAATTTACTAAAGAACAGGCAATGCGCTGAAGAATTTTACGAAAAATAATAAAAATTAGTGACCCCTTCAATTTCATAATTATTGGAAAATACCTAGCACTTAGATTTCCTGGTTGTTAATTTTTCAAAGCCTCCTGTCATATTTAAGCAGTGGAGCACACATTAAGGTCAATTTAAATCGTGTGGATACAGAGTACCCTTGCATGCTTTTAAAACTCTATATGGGCTTTTAAAACTGTCCTCAGCTCTTGTGACTGTCCACTGATTCATTTACTGAAATTCTAGTAAAAATGCAGTGAAAAAAAAACACAAACAAACAGTGGGACCAACAGTGCTTGGTTTCCTTTGCATCTTTGCATACATGGTACTGAGGCTGCCATTTGATTAAGAGTTTGGATTGTATTAAGTGTACAAGCAGTACATCTCCTTTTATCTGCAATATTATCAGGTGGTTATTAGCTGGATATGGCCAAAATAAAAGCGGCTGTTTTTATTTATCTATTTTTACATTCTTCCTTCTAACATGTCAGCTTGCTTAGGTTTAAATTTTTGTTTTAAATACTGCCATGTACAACAAAAAACTTGGCTAAAATTAAATATTTTTCTTCACTTTCTTATTTTAAATATAATATAAAGAGTAAAGTCAATTTTTACTTTCTTTACTGTATTGTCACATTCCAAGAAAATATCAACTTCTTGTGTTGGAAAAATTAAAATGCTTTAAATATTTATACTTTTTCATAATGGATATATGTCTTTTTCTGTTTTGGACTAAAATATTCCACCAAGTTGGAACAGATTCCTGACAGAGAAGAAGGAATATGGTAAATGGCTTAAGAAGCATCATGAATTGCTTCCACTTCCAGAATAAAGGAAGCTTGCACGCACAGAACAAACATTTTTTGAATCACAACAGTGAAAAAAAATCAAGCAATTTGTGAATATCCTTTCAGCTGAGGAATGGAGCAAGTTTTCAAGTACCCATGTGCATCCATTTGGGGATTATGGTTTTAAAGACAGAGACAAATATTCTGTATCCTCAAGGATAAGTCAAAAAAGTAGAGAGAATCAGATAGAGGATGAAAAACCAGGAAGCAATGTCAATGGCTGTTTTAAGCACACTGCAAGATGGGATAAAAGTGCTAAATCTATTCCACACAAATGCTAGAAATCTAGGGAATAGGATGGAGGAATCACAACATTGGCTAAATGTTGGCAGATTTAGTATAGCTAAACAGACCCATGTTTTGAACCATGATGGCCATTCTTATGTTCTGGCCAGCCTATGCCTTTTTTTTTTTTTTTTTTTTTAAGTTAAAACCAGTCTGGGATATAAGTGGGCTGAAAACTTCGTTATTTTTACAACTTTCTTCCAAGTGTGAAATGCTTAGCCAAAACCATAAACCCCAAATGGGGGAACTGAGCAGCTCTGCTGATCACAAGGAGCACACAGGGAATAAATACAACCTCCCCAGTACCATGTGGAGCTCACAACTGAGCTCTAATGCACTCTCAAAATATTAGTAAATGATAATATGTGCTTGATCTTACACTCAACAGGAGTTACAAGATAAGCTTCAGTCTCCTATGCTCTTGGATCACCATTAATCTCTACAGAAGGCACCGAAGGAGAGTGTTAATAAGAATAAACTGGGAAGTAAACCCTACTAAATATAAATCCCTGGAAAAAAAAGAAAGCCTCCAGCTTCAGCAGGAAGCAAGGGGAGCTCTGCCAGATGTGGGAGCGCAGAGAGGCCTTTGAGCACCGCACGCAGCTGCAGCTATGTCTCCGTCTTTAATGAGTGCTTGTTTGCTCAGCCTGGAGCATGCACTTTCCATGGGCACTTGTGAACTCCTGCTGACAGTAGGTGAAGCTCATCTGCCAGCTACTGCTGGCTAGAGGTATCAGAGAGAGCCGTCCACAGGCAGCAGCAAGGGGGTGATGATGAGACACTGTGGTTGGCTTCTTTGCACTATCAAAAGAAAGCTCTTCTCCTACAGGGTTGACAGAAATGTGTGCTTGCCAGAGCCGGGCTGGACTGGAATGGCTTCCCAAATTTCCAGACAGAAATCCAGAGTTGTCAGAGCTCTTTGGAAAATGCCCGGTCACGGGAAGGAGGCAGGTGGCAAGGGGAGCCAGGGTCCCCTTGGCTGACTGTCACGCAGTGATGAGCAGGCAAATTGCTGAGGCCTAGAAATGCATGGGGTTTGCTCTTTGAAAGGAATCTCTCGTCAGGCTGGGAGAACAGACCAGCCAGAGCCCTGAGAGAGACCTCCCAAGCGAAGTGGAGTCGCACTTCCCTCCAGAAAGCAAGGCTGTTTTTTGCAGGATCCCCGGGCAGCCAAGACTGTGGAACAGCCTTGCTAAACTCTGCAGCCAGTAAGGACTAAAAGCGAGAAACCTTTCTGTCCAGACTAAAACTGACATATGTACAAAAAGAGATGCGTTTGCACTTTGTCCCCCCATTCCATCTGCATAACATTTCCACCTGACTTTAGCTAGCAGGCCCCTGCCAACATACAGGGCTGGGAAGAGACATCCCGACAGCTAACCCCAGGTCCCCCCAGCAAAACACACGCAGCACCCCACAGATGGCCTGGAAATCAGAGACATGCAGTGGCGTAATGACAAGGTCACTGCAGACGAGCAGCAGCAAAGGCACATTCCCATCTGTCTAAATCTTCGAGTATGCTCAAAAATAATGGCGTGCTGAGGCTGGAGGACTGGAAATGTGGGATGACGTGCTTAAAACGCACGACCTCTGCTTGCCCTTGTGCAGATGATGAGCCATACCTAAAAGCACTTTGCCACAGGATCAGGTAAATTGGCTTTTATTGAAACATACTGTAAGATGAGTTGGGGGGGCTGAGGGAAAGATTCCAATTTAAAGCAGGTACATTGCATTTCAGGCTCCCAAATAACTATTGATATCTGCTGTCCGGGAGCAAATCATATCTTCCTTGACAAGTCAGACAGCTGCTCTTTCTCTATCTTCCTTTTGTTATCTTTAATAGCCATGAATTGTTTTGGTACCTTGAAAAAAAATGTTTGCGCCTAACTTGATGGATGTGCTTCACCTCCTGCTATTAGCCCTGGTTCAAGGGGTTCATCTAATGCCTGTTCTTGCCTACAAAATTCATGCTTAGCCCAAGTGCTTTTGAAATGGGAGTGTCTGGGTCGGTGCCATGCACTCTGTGTGCAGCCCCCCTTCCTGTCCAGCTGGAGGGGTGAACCAGCTCTCCTGACCATCGTGGCACGTGGCATCATGGAAGCAACCTCCTGGGCTCACCTGGTGCAGGCTGCTGCTGAGATCAGGGCCAACTTCAAAGTTGATTTAAGACAACTCAGGGTCTTCCCCAGTTGACTACCTCCAAGGAAGCAGATCCCACAGCTTCTCTGGGCAACTGTTCCCATGTTTGGTTACACTTATGATGAAGATTTTGTTCCATTTGTTTAAGGTACATGAATACTGGTATCTTAAATACAGCAATGCCAACCATCGTAAGGTGGGTCTAAAGAAAACCACAGCTATATTTGACCAGTTTCACTCAGGCTTTGAACTGAAGAGACAAAGCAAAATTCCTTCAGGCTATCTGCTGTCCTAAGGCACATCAAAAGCATCAAAGACAAAGCACTGTGGAAATGGCTGGGGGATGCCATAGCACAGCTGTCCTTTCCTTTCCTCTGTCACACTTTGCTGCTCCCGAAGCTCAGTCAACAATGTGGGCTGTGTAAGCTTTCCCAAGGATGCTCCAATGCCAAGCGTGCCAGATCAGCCCTAAAACCCTTCAGCAGCAAATCTGAAGCAGGAGGAGGAGGCAGTTAAAACTATGTTATGTCTCTTTACAATGCAAAGGAGGTGTGCTTACCTTGTCCCTTCAGCCAGCACAGCCACTGGGTCACAGCCTCCTGCATACAGGCACTACACAGAGCTGAGCAAGTTAACAATTTGGATGGACACAATCTTTTCTGCAGTCCTTCCCTGGCACTTACCCACTCGCTCTGGCACTGAGAAGCACAAGTGCAGCTGGAGATCTGTACCTGTTTGAACAAACTGACTGGTCTCCATCTAAAATCATCAAAGGGCACCTAACATTTACAGGAGCAGCCTTTAAACTAGACCATTTTAAAAGCTGCTTCTAGGAAGCATCCGTAAGGTGACGAGTACCATGGAAATCATGTGTGACCTAGTATTAGCTACCCAGATGCCTCTGCTTTCTGTTCACTATTTGCCTAAAAGATTACCGACTGAGCATCTGTGATTAAGAAGTAGTGCTAGCTGTGTGTCCCTAGTCAGATTTTATATTCCTAAATGGGAAAAACCAACCCCCTATGGACCAGACTGTACAAAAAGCATCGTTCTGGGGGTGAAGGCTACACTGACAGATTTAATACGGTGTTTTGACAAATATATTAATAAATAGGGTCCTATTTATACTCCCCAGTGGTGTATGCACATTGTATTTTCCAGGTATTAATAGAGCATTCAGCAATGAGACTGGCCCATCCAACACTGGACCTAGGAAAAGGGCTTTCTGCTTTACCTGTATGTGCTGTGCATCCCTCCTAGCTCTATTGTATTCTCCTTGTATAGCTGAGACCCAAAGAGAGGATTATCATTATTATTTTACCTCACATTTGTATCCGTCAGCTAAAAAGAATACTAGCAAGAAGATAAATTTAGATCATCCACCATGAAATTAACAGCTGTGCTTTGTGATTTGAACAGGTCCCCAGTGGTACCCTTCTCGTGTTGGCCTGCAACTGGAACGCAGTAAGTTTTCATGTGGATGTTAAAAAGACCCCTAACGTATTACTAAACCTTTGGCAAGTTATCCTCCTAATAGTATTGCTCTCATGATATGTGTTAGTAGGTGAACTTTTAGTACTTTTTCATTAATTGGTATAGATCATGAAGTTATTAGTTTCCTCATCAGTACAGGAGTCTAATGGTTTCCATAACCATTGTGTAAAAATGTTTCAGAATACAGCATGCGCTCAGATAATGAAGACAAAGCACTTCTAAAGCCATTCATGGAGAAATTTGCTCATGTCGGTCCCTCACCGTGATTCCAGTTGCACTCCTCGTTCACAGCCTCATCAGAAGACACAACTGGCCACAGGAGGCTGCCTCCTTTTTTGGGCCAGCACACCAGTTCTTGCTGGACGTAGCCATGGGAGCTGTAGCTGCCGCTGACCAGGTGGCACTTGTCTGTGGACGTGAAGTAGTGCAGAGCCCTAGAAAGTGAAATCTGAGCAGCTGGTAGAATTTGGCACCCTCCCTGACCTAAACAGTGAACAAACATACTGATGCAGAGGGAGATGCAAAATGTAAATTAGGAAAGAGAAAGAAGTGTTGCAGCCATGGCAACACCCCATGCCCGTGGCTGTTGGGGTTTCCTTATATCCAGCTCACTGCCTCTCTGAAACAGAACCATGTCTTCCTATTTTATGTGTTTTCTTGTTCACTCCTGGTTCATTAGGATCGGGAAGAGATACTTCAGAGTGCTGTGAAAAGGAACGTAATGCTCAGATACACATGGTCTGCCCAGGTCAGAGAGTTTACAAAGAAATCCTGGACTGGGGGATTTTGCCCAAGAAGTTGCATTCATCATGATGGTGCAACCTATTGTAAAATACCCTGAGAATGCAAATACTCAGGCAAAAACTATCAAAAGGCATCAGTGACCAAGAGGCTGTATAACATCGACTTTCCCATTAAGTCTTGCAAGACAGAATGAAAAGTGATCTGTGAAACTGCGTGATTGCATGGCATGTCGCTAATGATCTAGATGAACAGAGATAGCATCATAACAATTGCTGTGCATTGCTGCCCAGCAGCATGTCAGCCTAATGCTTTTGTTAAAAGGAGAGAAGAATAATTCCCATAGAAATGCTCTAAGCTGCTAACCTGGAGAATAAGGACTAAGTCACCGAAATAAATCACAATATAATTTGTGCCTTTTACATGTAAGGCATAGGCGCTAGAGTGCAATGCAAATTGAAGAAAATGGTTTCACTCTTTGACTATTAACAGGGCAGCCTACATGTTATGCTGAAAGGATCCACCGAGAAGATGCGTGCTGTTCATGCCATTTGCTCTTCCCTTTTTGTCCTTACAGATGGGCCCTACCTGAAGGACTCTGTTAACATTCAAAGCCTTGCAGTGTCCTCCATCATTACACTGTATTTTACAGACCTGGGTCAGCAGGTTGGTTGGACTACAGTAAGTATGTTCTTGTAACAGTAAGCATGACATCTGAGTGTACACTGTGTTTTAGCATCAAACTGCTCCAACTTCCTCAGCCTGCCCTTCCCTATGTCAAATAGTGTAATTAGTTTATTAGCAATAAAAACAAAAGTAAATTGGTAGTAAACCAAGTTATCAACATGCTAACTCTAACATTCAATTACAGATTAGAAGGTGGACGTAGCAATATTGCCTGAGGAAAAAAAGATCAATTTTTAAAAACATTTTTAACTTATCCAGGGTTTATATGCCCGTGCAGGACCTGTAGCCAAACATATTCATTTGCTGCAAGGCTCCTCAGCTTTGAAATTATATTAACAAATAAATAAAATATGGATTTCTGGTAAACTTGTTACCAAAGCAGGAAAACTACTGCATGGGACTGTCCTACAGCAATGTCCTACAGTGGGTCACTACGGGTTTTATTAACTTCTATTGCCAGAAGTTGCTTAATATAATGGACATGCTATTACACAGCTCCTTTTCAATTAACCAGTACAGTCAAGGTGGGTGTTTCTGCCAGAATTGCTTCTGACTTTGGGAAGAAACAGCTTCTGGATCAGCACTATGAAGTCAGGTATCCATCTGTCCTGCTTAAGGTCACATTCATTTCTTACTAGCCAGGTCAGCATGTAGCCCCTAGCAGCACAGTCTCTGGGAAGCTTTAACCCCTAAGAGTAAGAACGTGACCTGTATCTGTCTTTCCCAGCCCCAGCACAGGACCCAAACCTCCCGGCTGTAACAAGAAGGTTACTTCAGTGGAGTTAGAGCAGCCCACACTCTGTGACTGTACCCCTTCAGAGATCTGTGTGTTTGCCAAGGCTGAGGCTTTGTCCCACTGATTTCCATGCTGCCATACTAATTAATGCTAGTTGAGGTCCTGTGTCCCCCGCACCCATCCCATCTCTGCTCTAGCATTTTAAAATACCCCTGATGGAAAAACAACCGTGGAATTTCCTTGAAGAGCAAAAGGTGTGAGCAGTGTGGCCTCTTGTTTGCTGCAACTAAGTAATCTGCACGAGCCTTATTTATTCTCTCCTTTCCCGGTGGTTTATGTAGCCTAAGACAGTAACATAACTAAAGCTTAATATCCCATTATAAATAGTGCAGTTATGACTAGGCACTGATAGTGCAGGCAGTGGCATTTTTTTTACGATTTGATCTGTGTGTGCAGAAAGTTGTCTCCACGAGTTTCTGAATACTCATCTTACCCCATCCTGTTCCACATGCTAAATCGTCTCTATTCTCAGTGGGAGAAATCTTCCTGGCCACATCGTTTAGTTTAAACAGTGGAGAGATTTTATATTCTAGCTAGTCTACAGCAACAGAGGAAAAAATTCATAAAAGACTGTATTTTAACAATAGCAATTAAGAATGTATTTGCACACAGGATGTACAGTTTTACGGCTATTTTTACTGTGCTTAGAGCTCCTATTCAAACCCCCTTGCTGTTCTATCAGATTTATGCACACAGGGAGGGACACTTATGATTTAAAGGGTTGACATTTAAATAAACAAGGCAGAGAATAAAAATATTCTTATCTCATCAGCAAAATGATAGCTGAAGTACAAAGGGCCACATTCAGTTCTGTAAGCTAAAAATAGGCACAGGAGCATATGGAGATGTGCTGTTGCTCCAAGGGATGATGCATTGGGCATGGATCTTGCTGGGGGAAAACTAAGCACAGAGGTCTGTGTGCTGGGGCTTTTCACCTCACTGGGGATCGTACTTGAGATGCCTACTTGAGGATGAAGGACACCAAGTCCTTCAGTCTTGGGGATTTAAGCACAGAAGAGAAGCTCATGTTTTTCAAAAGGTAGAGGCTAGGGGAAAGGGCTACCCACTTGCACCTCCTGGGAGCAGTACCCTCTTGCAGGCATGTTGTAAAAGAAAAGGCAATGCCGTTGTCTGTTCCCCAGTGAATACAGTTTGGGTCCCTATGAGCATACATCTCTGAGTCAGGAAACCTCACTTTCTCTTGTGGGGCATGTATGGTCTCTGATTTACAGTCCTTGTCAGACATCACCTTGATGACTCAACGGGCTGTTGTCTCCTGTTGCCTACTCTCTTAAGTGTTGCCACTTGGTAGGAGGCTTCCTTCTCAGCTTCTGCCTTCTGAAAACACCGTTGCACGGTGGCTGTGCAAATAGGTTTGGTTTGTGCTGTGAAAGGTCAGACATCCCCTGGGCTCAGGTTGCACTCCAGCCCTGATGGGCTACCCAGATGTCAACAAGTTTCAGAGGCTGAGCTGCTCTGAAGAAGAGAGGAAAGATAAAATGGTGCGAAGGATTTACGGTTGTCCTCCACTGGAACAACTAAGCTCTGACTCTCTCGAGAATGAAGCCCCTTCCTGGGATAACGTGGGTATAAAACCAGCCTCACTTGGCTCTTTTAGAAGGATTCAGACCCTCGAGGTGCATCTCTAGAAAGCTATTTAGGGAGAAAACAAAAACGTTCTTTGCATCATGGATGTTGTTAGAACTGTCCCTTTCATCTCTCTTCTTTTTAATAAACTAAATATTAGCAGAAATACCTAATTTGCTTCTGCACAAGCCTTATCAATTCCCTTACTCTGGGAATTGATATAGTATCAATGATATACCTGGGTGGCATGCTTGAGGTTTGCTGACTGATCTGCAGAGATGAATGAGAGCTGAGTGTACAGATCTCTTCTGTATGCTCCCTGCAAAGCCTGCACCCCCAGAGGTGCTTGAAATTCCCACCACTGTGGTAATGGCTTTTTATTTTAGATCTCTGTCCAATATGGGGCCTAAGCATGTTTGATAAAGACCTCTTTTTATACACTGCGATGCAGCATGTGACTTTTGAAACATGGTTGGCATTTTACCGCTACAAACGCGTACAGCTGCTGTAGTCAAAAGGAAAAAGAAAGCCATTCTTCCTGCCGAAATTCAGACCAGTGTTACAGCTTTCCCTGTTTGAACAGTGATTGCAGCTTCTGATTTATCAGCTTCTGTTGTCTAGTTGCTATCCAGGCAGGCTACCAGAAGGATCAAAATAGAACTGCGAAAACAACATGGAGCTGTGAAAAATATATTATGCCTCCAAGTCTGTGAATTTTGTAAGAAAGATTAATCCTGAAACACAGTGCTTCAGTAAATATTTTTTGTAACCGAGTTAAAATTAGGGATTGCTTAAATACTTTGACTCTTGGGAGCCTTAAAATACTGAGGCTGGCAGCAAAACTGCTCCATTTGCTTATCCTAGTTCCTTAGGTTGTTTTTTTGCTTTGTGTTTTCACAGCCCTCCCCTTCCTGCCCCCCATTTGCATGCACAGTTACCATTTCAATAAACTTCTGCTACTATAAACCATATAGCTGGCTGAAAAAAAAAAAAAAAGGAACCATATTTAGTAGGATTAAGATTGTATTAAAAATATTTACATATTTTTAATGAGGTGTGCCTGTTTTCTTGGGGGTAAAGGCAGCGTGGTCCTCTACTCTTATTCACATAGTAAAAAAGTTTTTTTTTTTCTGCCCTGTGGGCGTAAGTGGGTGATAAATAGGGGAGGAGTAGTTTGCTGTGACCATCACTGAGAACAAGGAGATGGTCTTGTGAATGTGGAGTAATCCCATGAAGTCTGTGGGATGAGGGGATGTGAAGCAATTTATGAGTATCGGTGGGTTTGAAAAAGAGGTTGCCAAACTGCTGTAGACTCCTTTCCTTAGCCTCCTCTACACCAAAATCAGCTCTGAGCTTCTAGTGGGGAAGCTTAGGATGCTTTCCCTAACTCAGTAACAGGGGAAGAGAATTTGGTAAACGCTTATGTCCTCCTCATTGGATTTAATAAGTAGTACAGACAATTAAAATTTAAGAAAAAAGACAGGATCTGAGGAATTAGGAGGAGTGGGAGGGCTGGGAGTCCCAGCAAACCAGTGGGTCAGTGTGAAGAAGGCAAATGTAAGAATACTCATATGATTATCGCTTTGGAAGGAATTTGGGATCAGGGTAGGAGAGGGAGCTGAGGATCTGCAGCATATATAGGTAGAGAAGGTATTTCTCACTGGAAACATATTAGAGCTTGTGTATTTTGGGGCCAATTCACATGCTGTTGTAGGACAGGACCCTTCCAACTGAGTAATGCTTTCATAGAAGTGTGGGGTGCCTGAAAGACTTGGCAGCAATGCCCAAGAAACAGAACACGTGACTCTGTGTAAATCCTTGAGCAGCTTAAGAATGACTACAGCACAAACTGCCAAGAAATTTCCCCAAACTTTTTTGATTGCTTAAACTCTTGGATCAATAGAGAATTTGATCACAGACGATCTCCAGGAGGAAAAAAAAAAAAAAAAGTCATTATTTCCTCTACAGCCACTTTTCCAACTATAATTATTGGTAACACAAAGCACCTCCGGTTTACAGCTAACAGTTTGTACTTGGCAGAGATTTCTGCTTGAGCACACAATATTGCACACGGTGAGAGTTGCTCTGCCGGGGTACAGCTGGCCAAGTCTTGAGCTGATCGGAGTCAAACACTGCAAAACACCGTAACCTTTCACAAAGACAAACTACATACATAAGATCGGTCTTATTTTTCATTTAATTAAGTCTAATAGTTTGCAACCTCCAGGGTTATCAGGAGAGAACAGCTTGCATTTGGCTGATTTCTTGCCATAGTTTTATATTATTTATGCCTTTCCTTGGGCCACATACACTTTTGGCTCTTTGTTACTGCCCAGTGGCAGCATGAAGTGAGCTGATAAGGCAAGAGGAGACCTCTCTTTTGCTGAGGCTGCCCAACTGGCTGATTGGGATTGCTCAGCCTCTGTTTCTAGTAAGGCAAACAGCACTGCAATTTTATCTCCCGGTCTCGGCAACAAATGCCACCAGCTCATGATGAACCATGCCAGAAGATCCATTCTTCAGGCGCCAAAGGGAGCTAGGGAGCTACGAGAAAAACTAAATCTAAGAGAAATTAATGTTTTAGCTGCTGTTGAGCAGAGCACAGGCTGCA